AACAACAAAAAGATTCTCATTTACCAAGTACCAAACATAGCTCCTGTTGAAGGGCTCAATAGGAGCCCCCTTGACTATAAAATGGGACACTGTGACTGTCTCCCAGGTTTGCCACCAGGACCGATAAGCAATAGGTACCAGGAGGGGTCCAGCTGATTCTGCTAGATGGCCAACTCAGCTAGGGAAGTAAGCCAAGCCTTTCCAAAGTAGGCTACTCCCCCACACATCACTGCCATGGCTCCACCTCCCAGTCCTGCCCCTGCAAAAGTCTGGGCACAAACAAGTGAGTGCAAATACTGACCCTGAGACTACCCAGATTAAAATTTTGAAGTCATTGCTGTATTGTCTTGTAGCGTCTAGTGTTACATTTGAGAATTCTAATACCATCTTGATTTCCAATCTTTTGTACTTGATGTCTTTTTCTTTTTGGAAGCTTTTAAAATCAACATACCTTGAGTAGGATTTTTTATCTTAATTGAATTGGATATGTGTAGGCCTTTTTAATCTGCAAATTAATTTTCTTCTATTCTGGGGAATTTTCTTCTCTGTTTAATGTCTTTCCCTTATTGTTCTCTTTTTATGAAATAATTATTATCTGGATATTGGCCCTCCAGACTGATCCTCTTAATTTTCTTTTTTTTTTTTTCATCTTATTTTTTGTCAGTTTCACTTTTTGAGAGATTTCTTTAGTTTTATCTTCAGTTTTTATATGTCTTATTTCTGCTATCATATTTGTAATTTCCATACAAATTCACTGAATGTTCCTTTTTTTATTCATCTTGTTCTTATTTCATGATTATAAGCTTATTCATTTTAGTTATTTTGAAGGTTTCCTCTCCCTGCACTGTCTCTGCCTCTTCTGTGCACATTTTTATGTTTGTTTATTTTGTTCTTTTTCACATTATTGTTTTCCTTGTTTCTTGTTATTTATTTGTTTAGCATTCATTTTGAAGAGGGAGGCAAAGGAACTCATTGGAGCTCTTTCTGGGAAGATGGGCTTGGGCCTTCTTAGGTGTGAATTGAATATCATACCTTTACACACCTATTTCATTGCAGTCCCAGTTTGATCAATGTAATTCATTTCTTTAGGCTGATTCGTTTCCACAGGGTATATCCTCCAGTGTGAGGCCTGGAGAGCAGAAGCCTAACAACTAGTGTTCTTAGCTAAGTGAGGAGGATAACTCAAGTTTTTCTTCGTGTGGCATGTAGACTTTTACTTACTTCACCTTCCTCATCTCCCCAGTGTCCTCAAGTGTAAAGTCTTTCTGGTTCACTCAGAAAATCCCAGCCAGTCAGACACAGTGGCACATGCCTGTAATCCCAGCAGCTCAGGAGTCTGAAGCAGGAGTATTGCAAATTCAAAGCCAGCCTTAGCAATGGTGAGGCACTTAAGTAACTCAGTGAGACCCTGTCTTTAAATAAAACACAAAATAGGGCTGAGGATGTGGCTCAGTGGTTGAGTGCCCCTAAATTCAATCCCTGGTACCCTGCCTCCTGCCCCCCCCCCAAAAAGAGAAAATCCCAGCCAATTCTGCCACCATTGGAGAGAGGTAGCATCCTAATTCTGTTTGGTTGGGCTGTGGATCTGGGAGTCCTTCCTTAAATGTAGGCTTTGAATTAATCCACCTGCACTCCCAACTTCAAGGGCATCTAGTTCTATTCCTGATATTTCTGAGGCTCTACAGAGCAAAGCAAATTGCTTTTTGATATTCCTCCTCCCCCTCCCCGGTACCAGATATGTGGCCCTCCATTTTCATTGATTTAGTCTCATTTTGAGGGGATTTTGGGAGTACAGAAGGTAAACTGTGCTTAATTTGTCTTGTTCAAAGTGTATATAATCTTTACGGTTTTAATTTTTTGAAAATATTTTTAGTTGTAGATGGACGCAATACTTTTATTTATTTATTTTTCTGTAGTGCTAAGGATTGAACCCAATACCTCACACATGCTAGATGAGCACTCTACCACTGAGCTATGACTCTAGTCTCATAATGTTTTCATAATAGACATTTTTAATGACTGTTTCATTCAGTGAATATACCATAATTTATTGATTAACCTGTTTTTGACATGAAAATTACTTCTAGTTAATTGCTATTGCAATCCTACAAAAACATGTTTCATGCTAATAGATTTCTATTTTTTTTTTTTAAAGAGAGAGTGAGAGAAGAGAGAGAGAGAGAGAGAGAATTTTTAGTATTTATTTTTTAGTTCTCGGCGGACACAACATCCTTGTTGGTATGTGGTGCTGAGGATCGAACCCGGGCCGCACGCATGCCAGGCGAGCGCGCTACCGCTTGAGCCACATCCCCAGCCCGCTAATAGATTTCTTACACATTAAGTTATTGCCCACACATCCCTCCTTTCTTTAAACTGTACTGGAGATTGAACCCAGGGTGTTGTGCWTGATAGACAAGCACCCCACTGCTAAGCTGCATCCCAACCCTTTTTAAACTTTTTGAGATAAGATCTTGAWAAGGTTACCCAGGCTGACCTCCAATGTGTGATCCTCATGCTTCAGCCTCCTAAATAGCAGGAGTTAATAGGCATGTGCCACCAGGCCCAGTTATTTTCTTAAAATTAGAGTACAATGAATATGTTTAGCTTTTACTTTCTAAGAAAGTCTACTAATTTTGAGTACTAACAAGGTATGTGATTATCTAGCTTACTAGATTGATTGTATAATTGTTAGTTTCATCATTATAAAAGTCTTTTTGACAAACTATAAAAGAAAGTTCCAGTTGGGCATGGTGGCACACACCTGTAATCCCAGAGACATGAGAAGTTGAGGCAGGAGTACCGCAAGTTCAAGTCCAGCTTCAGCAACTTAATGAGGTCCTAAGCAACTTAGTAAGAGTCTATCTCAAAAAAATAAAAAATAGGGCTGGGGATGCCTCTGGATTCCATACCCAGTACTATCAAAAAAAAAAAAGAAGAGAAGAAAAGGTACCTTCTCTTATGATGAATTTTAAGTATATCTCAAAAAAATAAAAAATAGGGCTGGGGATGCCTCTGGATTCCATACCCAGTACTATCAAAAAAAAAAAAAAAAAAAAAAGAAGAGAAGAAAAGGTACCTTCTCTTATGATGAATTTTAAGTATCCTTCAACAGAATTTAAAATACATGTTGGTTCTAAAAGCAACATATTCTGCCTTGTTTATATTTTTATTCTGAATATTTATTGCTTTTGTATCTTTTTAAAATAATAAACATTAATTTTATTTGGAAATAAGCAGCAATATAAAGAAGAAACTATTTGCTGGTAATTCTATACCCAGAATAGTTAGTATTTTGGTAATTGTGTGTGTATGTTTATGGAAAAAGAATGCATAAATACATAACATACATAATCACTCAAAAAATTAAGAATCATAGTGTGTGTGTGTGTGTGTGTGTGTGTGTGTGTGTATGAATGATTTGGTAGTCTTATTTTTCATTTGTGAACATTTTCTCTTGTCATTAATTATAATTGTCAAATTGCCCTGATGTTGTATAGTTCACTCTATGTATAGACAATTTAAAATATTCTTTAATCCTGGGAGTTACAATATATAATGAAGTGAATTTATAATCAACAATTTATGTAAGATTTTGAATATACTTCTTTTTAATAGAAAATTTTTAAAATTTACCTTTTTGGTATACTTTAAGATTTAATCTGTTAATAATTCTTCCAACTTATTCATTCTTGGTATGGGGTTGAATTTTTTCTTAACAAATATAGTTCTGTGGATTGTATTTTGTTATATGTTTGACATATTTAAATGAACAATTGTTCTGTCCTTTACTTTATGAGTTCTTGTGGGGCAGCTTAGTCTCTATAAAGTTGTTAATTTTTCTGGATATCTTCTTGCAGTATAGTACGTAGGAAAAATAGTACTACTGAAGTGTTTTCAATATTATTGTGCCTAGAGTTTTCAGTATATGTACTTTATACACACTGAAACAACTTGGGCAAATTTGTTAGATTTAGTATAAAGTTTAAAAATTACAGCCCAATATCCTAACACATGTGTGCATTTAAAAAAATATTTGTTGGGCTGGGGATGTGGCTCAAGCGGTAGCGCGCTCGCCTGGCATGCGTGCRGCCCGGGTTCAATCCTCAGTACCACATACCAGCAGGGATGTTGTGTCCGCCGAGAACTAAAAAATAAATATTAAAAATTCTCTCTCTCTCACTCTCTCTCCTCTCTCACACTCTCTTTAAAAAAAAAAAAAGAAAAGAAAAAAAATATTTGTTGAGGACTGGGGTTGTAGCTTAGTGGTAGAGCACTTGCCTCGCATGCATGGAACACTGGGTTTGATTCTCAGCACCACAAAAAAAAAAGATAAATGGAGATATTATGTCCGTATACAACCAAAAAATATTTAAGGAAAAAATGTTTGTTGAATAATTAATAATGCAAAACAACATTTAAAAAATACATTGGGGGCTGGGGTTGTAGCTCTACTAATTAGTTAGTACTCTACTAATTTTGAATACTAACAAGGTATGTGATTATCTAGCTTACTAGATAATGGCAGAGTGCTTGCCTATCACGAATGAGGCACTGAGTTCAATCCTCAGCACTGCATAAGAATAAATAGAATGAAAGTATTCTGTCCATCTACAACAAAAAATTTTAAAATACATATACATTAGGACATCTTGGACCTATCCTGTCCTGTTTACCTCATTTCTCTTTTCTTTCCCATAGAGAGAATAATTTTCTTAGTGTTCTTCTAGTACTTCTTTCTGTAAATACAAACAAAATAAATATATGTTCTTATTTTTCCTCTTTTATTACTCAAAAGATAGTATACAGTATAAAATGATTTTCACCTTGGTATTTTCATTTAATTATCTTGGAACTCTATATAGGGATAGAGAACTTTTTCTTCTTAAATAGCTCTTTAGTGTATACTAGTGAAGATATTTTATTTAACTATTACCCTGTAGATGAACACTCATCTAATCAATGTGGGGTTTTTTTAATCAGTATTTTTTAAACTTATTCAGGTCGATATGGACAAAAGTGGTGAAGTGCGACTCATAGAATTGGATGAATCTTTCAAAAGTGAACATACTGTTTTCGTAACACCACCTGAGATCCCACATCTACCCAATGGTGAAGAACCCCCTTTACAGTACAGGTATTCAAGAGGCAGAATGTTTGAGATTGAAAGAGAGAAGCAATCCATCATCTGTGACATAGCTTTCTAAGGACTGTGGTATTTTCAAAAATCCAAACTTTACAGATCCCTAATTTTTAGGTGGTAAGCAAGCTTATCCCACATCCATTATTAAGTTTTCAGGTATAAATGGAAAAAATATATAACTTTGCATAATAAATACTTGGGTAACTCTCTAATTATATCTATATAAGGATCCTCATAAATATTGATTAAATTTATTGACTTTCCCTCACTGAAATGCAGCATTTTTATTATAGAATTTTTATTTTCTCTTCTCACTAAAGCTGATTCCATCACTTTCATCCCCTTTTCATTCCATACATACATTGATTAGTGTAACTTAGTTTATAAAAAGATTAAATCTAATTTAGGGTCAATATTTAAGACCTTGATTTGTATAAAAAAATTTTAAGCTATTCATTTTTTCATAAAGTCATGAAAATTCAGAATTATTAGAATTGATTATTGTTAATTTAGGAAATTTTGTCTGATATTGCTAAGTGCTTGGTCTATAGATTTAAATGTTATATTGTCTGCTTTCAAGTCTAATGAGGAAGAGAGAAAGATCCTCAGCACAGTGAAATGAAGCTATAATAGAGGTTAGATTTATTTTTTAGTTTCTAGTGCTGTGCATTTACTACCTAAAATTGTATTTTCCTTAAAACTTAAAATTTTTAAAAATTCTCTAATAATACTTTCTTACTTCATTTAGACTCTAAACTTTTTAATTTTACATCTGTAATTCATTGAGTCACAGTTTATTATTTTCATTGGAAAAGGTTTTTCCTGATATCCTCATGTATGGATTAAATTCTTCATTTTATAGATGAAAAGTAGTGTGACAGATGTTTGTGAATGTAGATTAATTCATAGACCATTTGATTCTACTCTTACTGTTCATCCGCTAATGATGTTGCTTATATCACTTTTTAAAGTATGTCTTTTATCCTTTTTTTAAATGATTTTTTTAGTTGTAGATGGACACAGTACCCTTATTTTATTTGTTTATTTTTATGTGGTACGGGTGCTCAAACCTAGTGCCTCACGCATGCTAGGCAAGCACTCCACCACTAAGCCACAACCCCATCCCTGTTAGCTGTTTTTTAAAATATTTCTTATAATTTCTCCTTTCTAAACAAGATATCGCTCTGAGATTTCTTTTGTACTTTACACTGCTTAGTCTGCTTTTAGTATGTTTCACTAATACAGTTTTGTTTTACTTTCTGTGGTTTGGTTTTAACTTTTTAATTTAAATTTTACTTTCAGATTTGGTCCTCTACTAAAATTACTTAGCTTAAAAAGTTACCAGTTTTTAATACAGCATATGTAATTTTTTTTCTTTTTTTTTTTCTTTTTTTTTTAGAGAGAGAGAGWKAGAATTTTTAATATTTATTTTTTAGTTCTCGGCGGACACAACATCTTTGTTGGTATGTGGTGCTGAGGATCGAACCCGGGTCGCACGCATACCAGGCGAGCGTGCTACCGCTTGAGCCACATCCCCAGCCCCGTAATTTTTTTTCTTGAGACTATCAGTATAATTATGTTATAATCACTGAAAAAACAATTGAAATTGGTCCTCTTAATAAAAGATGACTCATTGTAAAATGATGAGGTATTTCCATAAGACAAACAAAGTGGTCTTATTATCACCCTATATAGATTCAGTGACTTTTTTTAAAGGGACATGGTTTTCCTGAACTTCTTTGCTGTTTTTTTCCAAATTAGCATTCTATCATTACTAATATTTTCTTATTCTATTGAATTTTCCTATAGGAATATGTAATAGATATTATTTATCATCTTTTATTTTTAGGTTACTTCTTAATTAAGACTATATGCCTTTAAAAATATTTAAAATAGGCTAATTTTGTTACTTGGGGGGATTCTTTTCTTTTTTGCATATTTCTTCTAGCTGCTTCCTTTTAAATATCCAAAACACCTTGCTGTAGCACCATGATGTTCATCCAAAGCAATGACATTGATGATTGCATTGTTTGAAAAGAGTATTGATTTGGTGGGCCCTTTTCCAACTGCCATATTTTCTAATGTTTGCTGTCTCTTCTTTTAAAAGTTTGAGTTATTTTGTAATTTGATGTCAAGTTCAATTAAATGTATTGCCCACCCCCAGATACAGAGTCTGTATTTAACTATTACACTTCTAAATATTATSTTAAGAAAAGCAGGGGCTGGGGTTGTGGCTCAGCAGTAGAGTGCTTGCCTAGCACGTGCGAGGCGCTGGTTCGATCCTCAGCACCACATAAAAATTAATTAATTAATTAATTAAAGGTGTTGTGTCCAACTTAAAAAAATATTTTTTTTAAAAAAAGGAAGAAAGAAAAGCAGCATTAGCATTTACAATGCTAATAGCAAGATAGTTAAATTCTAAGATAGGAAGTTTTCTTAGCTTGTAACTACTGTGATCATCTATGTATGCTTGAAATTTTGTTTTTCTTTTCCAAAACAGCTATAATGGATTTCCAGTTCTTAAGAACAATTTATTTGAGAGACCTGAAGGATTTCTGCAAACACGAAAGAACAAATTGCCTTCAAAATCAAGTAGCCCTAGTAGCCCTTCTCCCATGTTCAGAAGAACAAAACAGGTACTTTTAAATTTTTGCAGTTTTCATGTAATCAAATATTAAATCTGACATTCATTCTCCCTTAATATACTTTACCATCCACAAATAACTATTATTAGATTATAATGCTCCTTATGCAGTATGAAGATCCAGTAATCTGACCTAGGAAATTAACCTGAGTATCTTATTCTAGAAATTTATTGCATATTGTATGATAAGATTCAAGAGGAAACTTAAAAATATATTAATTATGGACAGATTTTTCTATGGAAATATTGTGACCTTTATCTGCTCAACATTCAGTTCAAGAATGATGTCTGAGAATATTAATTTTTATGAGACTTTTTGCATTTTTCCCTAGGAAATTAAATCAGCCCATAAAATTGCCAAGAGGTATTCTTCTATCCCTCAGATGTGGTCTCGGTGTTTACTACGACACTGTTATGGACTGTGGTTTATTTGTCTGCCAGCTTATGTGAAAGTGTGTCATTCCAAAGTCAGGGCTCTGAAAACAGCATATGATGTGCTAAAAAAAATGCATTTGAAGAAGATGGATCCACCTGATGAGGTATCAATTATTCCTTAAAATACATTATTCTAGATTTAGGTACATAAGTATCTTTGTTTTTATACACTTTTTACCTTGTGTTTCAGGTGTGCTACCGAATTCTTATGCAGCTGTGTGGACAGTATGATCAGCCTGTGCTTGCTGTTCGAGTGCTTTTTGAAATGCAGAAAGCTGGTATTGATCCCAATGCAATTACTTATGGTTACTATAATAAGGTAATCATTTTGATTTAATGGAGAAAATTATTTTTGTAATCATAAGACCTTAATTTAATTGCAGAAATAATTGATGCAGGGGGTTATTTGGCATTTATTTTAGAATTTCCAAAATAATTGTCTCAATGAAGCAATTTTTGTTATTCTTCATGTTATAAAATCTACTTTAATATTCTTTTGCTGGATTCTAAAGCCAATGTATGTTCATTTATAAATATTATCTTACTAATTATTTTATTTTGTTGAATGAATAGGCTGTTTTGGAAAGTACCTGGCCTTCAAGAAGTCGTAGTGGCTATTTTCTTTGGACAAAAGTAAGAAATGTTATTGTGGGAGTAGCACAGTTCAAAAGAGCTTTAAAGAAACATGCCCACTTATCACAAACAACTCTCTCAGGTAATTAAAGGTTCTTAAGGAATGTATGTATTTTAATTTTTCTTAAAAATTAATTGACTAGTTATATTTTATGTTTTTAGAAATATTGAATACTTTAAAAATATTGAATATTTTCGGGTTTATATTGCCATTAAACATATTCACATACAAGTTGACTATCCTTTATCCACAGTGCTTAGGACTGGAAGTGTTTGAGATTTGATACTTTTTTTGGATTTTGGAATATTTACATATATAGGTATATGAAATACCTTTGAGATGGGATCCATTTCTAAATATGAAATTAATTTATGTTTCTTAACATAAACATACATGTTTATATACCTTATACATATAGCCTGAAGGTAACTTTATACAGTATTTTATGTGCCTACTTTTTGATTGTGATCTATCATATCAGATCAGTTGTGGAATTTTCCACTTGTGGTGTCCTGTCAATACCCCAAAAGTTTTGGATTTCAAGGTTTTGGATTGAGGAATCTTAAACCTGTATTGGAGAACTCTTCCCATTTAAAAAACACCACATTTCACTTTTTTTTCCCCTTACTTGTTAAATGTATCAACCTTTGAAGGTCTTTGTTTTAGCATTCATTCATAATTCACAGTATGCTTCTTTGTTATAGTTGTATGCTGGTTATGTCGTACTTTTCATGTTGTTATTACATTAGTAAATTTTTAGTTTGAACAGCAAACTCTAATGTGTATTTTTGGTATCTCCTTGAGTAGTAAAATGCTATTAAATTGTGTTCTTAAGCAGATGGCAGTGACCTGGATGCTGTTAGTCATGGCAGCATGGATAGTGGTCATGGGACACACACTGTGGAGCAGGCACCTTTTAATACGGGTTTAATCAAAGTATATGCTACTGATGATAGATCTAGTACAGGTTCGTGTGTGCTTATGTATACATTTATTACAGTACATTTTAAAAATTAGAGCTGCTAGCCTRTATTTAAAAAATTTTTATTTTTAGTGATGTGTTTAACTGTCACTATTTAATTTTATATTAGGTACTTGATTTTATATTAAATTTAATAATTATATGCAATTTTATTTATTCTTTATTTGAAGGATTATAAAGTTCTTTATTAAGTATTTACTACATGATAATTCAGTATCCAATTAACTATGGGTAGCCACAGATCTCTTCCTATCTTTTTTTTTCCCCAGTTTTGGGGATTGAACCACCTGGGGCTTTGCACATCCTAGGCAGTTGCTCCACCACCAAACTATGCCCCCAACTCTTTACTATGTACTTTTCTTGGATAAATTCTTTGTAATTATGAAAATATTGTTAGTTTTTTTTTAAAGAGACATCAAGCTCTGTTTCTGAGTTAATGATGTTGTACCAATGTCAACTTCCTGATTTTTAACATTGTTGTATGGATGTATAAGGTATTATTGGGGAAAACTAGGTAAAAGTACCCCTAGTAATTCTCTATACTGTACTAGTTTTATAACTTCTTCTGAGTCTTAAACCATTATATTTTTTCAATTTAAAACACAAAGTTATAATAATTTTAAATATAAAAAACAGCATTCTCTCACTGAAGGTAGCATTAGTTTCATTGAGATATAAAATTTATACACACACATAAACATTTTCTGTTAAAACTGATGTACTTGAAAATGAATTATTTGCATTATTCTGACTTTTTATTATTACACTTCAAAAAATTATATGACTTTTGGGGCTGGAGTTGTGGTTCAATGGTAGAGCCTTTGCCTAGCATGTGTGAGGCACTGGGTTTGATTCTCAGCACTGCATATAAATAAAAAAATAAATAAGATCAATTACACTTCTTTTTTAAAATTATATAACTTTTGGGGGAGGGAAGTACTAGTGATTTTACAAGGGTGCTTTATCACTGAGCTGTACCCCTAGCCATTTTTATTTTTTTGTTTTAAGACAGAGCTCATTAAGTTGCCAAAGCTGGACTCAAACTTGTGATCTTCCTGCCTCAGCCTCACAGTTACTAGGTTTACAGGTGCCACAGCACCTGGCTTACATGGGACTCTTTAATATAGTATAAGCACAAGCTCATAATGGACAGTTACTTTAAATATTGAAGCATTACTAATAAAATATGAATGCTTCTATCTCTACAGATTGCAACATTATTTTGGTCTGCCTCCTTTTATATCTACTTTTAGTAGCTGATAAGCACTTAATCAACTGATAGTAAGCTGATTGTGGTGAAGTATAATATTCATAATAATTCTTCTTTGGCTGATGTTATTTCTTGGTCATACCATATGGAATGTGGAATTTAGTTATTATAGAGACCATCCTTGGGCATTATCTCATTTAAAAAAAAATGAAGAGATACCTCTTTAATTTTAACTATGGCTTTTGCAAAAAGCTGTCTTAAAACAGTACAGAACCAGGGCTGGGGTTGTGGCTCARTGGTGGAGTACTTGCCTGGCATGTGTGAGGCACTAGGTTTGATCCTCAGCACCACATTAAAAAATAAAAAAACAAATAAAATAAAGTTATTAAAAAAAATAGTTCAGAACCAGAACCGGGCATGGTGGCTCATGCCTGTAACCCCCGTTCCTCGGGAGACTGAGTTAAGAGCATCCAAGTTCGAAGCCAGCCTCAGCAACTTAGTGAGTCCCTACACAATTTAGTAAGACCCTGTCTCAAAAATTAAAAATAGGCTGGGCGCGGTGTCGCATGCCTGTAACCTCAGTGGCTTGGGATGAGGCAGGAGGATCTCAAGTTTAAAGCCAGCATCAGCAGAATCGAGGCACTAAACAACTCAGTGAGACCCTGTCTCTAAATAAAATACAAAATAGGGCTGGAGATGTGGCTCAGTGGTTGAGTGCCCAGTACCCCAATAAATAAATAAAGAAAAAGGGTTGGGGATGTGGTTTAATTGTAAAGCACCCCTGAGTTAAATCCCTGACAGCAAAAACCAACCCCCAAAAAACAAAAGCAACCAACAATAGTACAGTACCTAATAAAAGCATGGTTTTCATCAAGATTATCTCAAGTATTTCGATTTTTATGTCTTTGAAAGTGAGATCCAAAAACTTGATTAGAAAAACTACAATCTGAACATTATAACAAAAAAAAATAATAAAAGTAAATACTTTAGATTTCTTTACAAGTTTATAAACCATTTTATTTTCAGTCTTGCATAATCATGATAGCCTTTTTTTTTTTTTTTTTTTTTTACAAATCTGGGAACCTAAATTCAAACAAAAGAGCTAAAGGGGTTTCTTAAAATCACACATCTCCTAAGATTCAGAACCTTATCTTTTTGTTTTATTATTTTTTAGTTTTTGATGGACCTTTATTTGTATTTATTTGTATGCAGTGCTGAGAATTGAACCCAGTGCCTCATACAAGCTAGGCAAGTGCGCTACCACTGAGCCACATCCCCAGCCCCAGAACCTTATTTTTTGATGCTAATTTCATGGTAACAGTTTTCTAAAAATGATAGAAAGCCTAGTTAAGAAAACAATGTATTAGAAGTTTTCTTAAGTCAATGTAACTTTTGTTTTTCTTAATAACTTTTAACACTAATTGTTTCTTATTCCTATGGATTTGCATTCATATGTAGTTCCATAATTATTCAGTTGAATTTTGAGAAAAGTTAATTGCTTGTCAATAAATTTAAAGAAGCAATACTTTTGGTAAAATCATTAGACATGCAGCTTCAGAGATGTATGTGTGAATGTTGTTATGAATTTCCTGTAGATTTTCCTCCATATACACAATGAGACCTCCAGCGACAAGTYCCATTTCTTAGTTGCAGCTCAGCCTTTCAGCTAGAAAGGTCATGGACTTGTGTAAAAATTATCTGACTTGTCTGTGTCTGCTCACATAATAGTATGAATGTACAGTTCCTTTTGACTGCAGTATGGAGCCAGAAGTAAATTATTTTGAGATCATCTCTGTTACATTAATAAGGTTTGGGGAGGGGTAGCTAACAAAATAATGTTTTCTATTTGAAGTTGTCTAGACAATTTTCTATGAGTGAATCTAAACACTAATTAATATGTTGCTCCTAATTCCAATTGCTTTCACTAAAGTCATTTATGATAAAACAACATAATAGCGTGTTGTTTAATTTTTTTCCCCAGGTGGTCAGTCTGATCTTGGATATAATTCATTGTCTAAGGATGAAGTTACAAGAGGGTATACATCTACTGAGGACATTCAAGAAGAAAAAGATAAAAAAGGGAGTGACTCTAGTTCTTGTAGGTATTGTTTAAATTGATATTGCATAAAATTGTGAACTTATATTTATAAAAATACAACTTATTTTAAGTATAAATGCTAGTTTTGCTTTCCATTTTCCCATGAATTGCTTTTCTTCTCCAGTAAGTCCTCTTTACCATCTGATAGTTTCATACAAATGCTTCCAATGTAAGATGTATAGTCTTTGTGACAAAACATTCTTCAATCAAATACTGTTAGAATGAATGCTATATACCATAAGACAGTCTTACTGTGTAGAAAATTTTCTTGAAACAGAGACGCTTTTCTGAGGTATTATAATAATTTTATTTAAAATTTGCTAATGGACTGTGACTACTGGACTATAACTATATTTGGGTAAATATAGTTTGTTTTTTTTTTTTTTTGCCCACCAAAATGTCTCTTCTACAACTAAAGAAGAAATATAAAATTTGCACATAAACCTCATGCATGACCAGTACTTAGTAATTATATTCACACTTTGAGGTCTCAAATAATGGGATAACTTATTCATGGTTGACAAATATATAGAGAGGTTTCCAATATATTCTCATTGGTTTTCAATAGAAATTGAAGACGAAAAGCTACTTCTCTTTTTGCCTCCTCCAATCTATATAGATTCCATTTCATTAGCGTTTTCATTTTCATCTTTGTAGTATCAGAGAATGAGAGTGCAAAAGGAAGTACTGATTGCCTTCCTAAGCTCAGTTATCAAAGTTCTTCCAGTATAGTCCGCCTCAATGGTACAAGTGACAACAGTGCTGTTAAAGTATCAGGAGAAAGCACAGGTGAGTTTAAAATATACATTTTTTTTGTGCAGAATGAATTGTATCTATGTGGATAGTGAATCTTTATTTGTAAAGAAGTCTTAATTCTTCAGTTTTTTAAAAATATATTTGTGCAGCCTCTCATGGTATAGCTTAGTAGGTAGAGTTTTATATTTTATAACATACTTTATTCAAGCTTTCATTATTACTGAATATAGGGGCACATATTAAACTTGTAGACTGACTTTTGAATTTGGGCTGTTGGGACTTTTTAGAAGGGGAAAGTGTGGGAGCAAGAGAGGTAATAAGTTTGAGGTAATCTATAGCTAGCCAATTTTTAAATGAGGCATATGATTCTTTAGTTTACATACTGTTTCTGGGTTTTCAGAGGAAAAAGGGTAGTCCTTCAGATAGTTTAGGTGATAATACCCATTTTTTTCTTTTCAATGTGTTTTTATATACTATTTTTTATTTATTAATAGAGCAATACTTAAATTAGTGGGAGAGGATATTAGCACAAWTTTTTTTTAGTTTTATTGATTTTTTTTAAAATCCACAACAATTAGCACTAATTTAAAAATGAGAAAATTGAGTTATAATCTGACATTGGCAGTTCACATAAATTATCAGTAGTTAATGGAAAAGTCAAATTAAAATCCAGGATCATACTTGTCCTCTCGAATTTTTCACCAGACTATTTTGCAGTGGTTAAATGAATGTGAGATTGAGATCTTCTAGTCTGATACATAATTTAAAAATTTTGGTATTAACTCACTTTTCCACCATGTTATAATCTAAGGAATATTGAAGAACTTATAYTGAAATATCTTTATGTATGGCCTTATAATGATGTTTATTTTTCCATCTGTTTTTCTAACATAGTTAAAAATGCCTTTTTAACTCAAGGGTGGGTAGACAGTAGCCCAGATTTGGCCAGCATCCTATTTTTGTTCTATTCCACAAAGCTAGCAGTGGTTTTTATGTTTTTTTAATGCTTAGGGAAAAAAATCAAAAGAAAATATTATGTGACACACAAATTATTCGAAATTCAAACTTCAATGTTCTTAAATAAATATTTATTGTAACACAGCCATGCTCATCATTTATATACTGTCTAGTTGGTTTTGCACTTCACAGTAGTTGTGATAGGCACCACTTGGTCTGAAAAAGTAAAATTATTTTTTATTATTAATTCTTCTTTTCAGAAAATGTAGAGTCCTACTATCAAACAAATAAAAATTTAGATGACCTCTAATTATCTTACTTTGCATTTCCTTTTTGTTTTTTAATTGTAGATGGACACAAAATATTTATTTTTATTTATTTATTTTTATGTGGTACTGAGGATCTAACCCAGGGCCTCACGCATGCAAGGCAAGCGCTCTACTGCTGAGCTACAACCCCAGGCCCCTTTGCATTTTCTTTTTAAGTAATAAACTTTAAAAAAGTTGTTGGTATCATGGAATTACCCTATAACGATTTAGTCTTTCTTAACCATTTTATAACTATAACCTTAGTAACTGACATTTGATGGTCCTGTTTTGTTATGCTTTCATGCTTAGTTTTTTCTTAGGATCTGCTTTTGTGAACTTAATAATGATTGCAAGTCATCCTGACTTTCTACCAGAGTAATAAATAACTGATCACCTGGCATTCAATTCTCTAATGTTTAACAAGTCAATTTTATAAAAGCCTGTAATGGGGGGCTGGGGATGTGGCTCAAGCGGTAGYGCGCTGGCCTGGTGTGCGTGCAGCCTGGGTTCGATCCTCAGCACCACATACAAACAAAGATGTTGTCCGCCGAAAATTAAAAAATAAAAAATATTTAAAAATAAATAAATAAATAAATAAATAAATAAATAAATAAATAAAAGCCGGTAATGGATTTCCTTAGCGTGAATTAGAATTGTTAGTTTATTCTTCATATTTTTGCCTTTAAAACATTCCCATCTGTTAAGTGCTATGGATTTATCACTACTGCCAAAGACTTATATATGGACTTATAGATATTCTTATTTTTCAATAACATTTTTCTCTTAAAATATACTAGCATATAGTAGAATTCAGAACAAATATATGGATATTTTGTTTATATCATTGGCTATGTGTGTGTATAAATACTGAGTATATATAGCCAAAACAGCTTCTAAACGATACAGGTGTAGAATAAACAAGGAGATTGGATATTGAAATAAAATCATCACCTTACAGTTCTCTCTTACTTTTATCTTGAGAATTTGATGCTTTGATAAACGTATATTGAACTGATGAGAGTTCAATCACAGGAAAGTTTAACTTGAAATATTCCTCTATCTTCAAATTCTGGTTTTAGTATGCTTTAACATTTTGTTTTTAGTTACTCATACTAAAATATGTCATATTATAATGTATTATAATTTATCATATTCTGAGTTGATGTAATGGCCACAGTTTTCAGTCAGTAAAAATTTTTTGAGCTCCTGCTATATGCTACCATATGTCAGGTGCTGCTGGGAATATGGTAAACAACAAAAAATGTAGTCCCTGCCTTCATGGAGGAAGCAGATGGGAGTATTGGAAACACATTAATCAAACAAATATAAAAATTAAATACTGTAAAGAGGATTGTAAGTTGCTATAAGAGCATATGATAGATGTGTCTTCTGTTTGGGGGGACACTGGTCAAGGAAAGCTTCCTTGAGAATATGATTTTTGAGCTTAGACCTGAAAAAGGAATAGAAAATAAATAAGGATATAGGTTGGAAAGGAAAATGTGAGGGAGGGCATCCTGAGCAGAAGAAACCATATGTAAAAGCCTGTGTCCCAGTGTGTTCAGAGAAAAGGCTAGCTTAACTAGAGCACTTTCATCATTAAATCTCAGAAAATATAATTTACAGTGGCTTCTACAAGTTGAGGTTTATTTTTCTCAAAGTTATTACCTTATATACATATATGATTACATGACCAGTGTGATTCTATATCACGTACAACCAGAAGAATGCGAACTTATGCTCCATTTATGTATGATTTATTAAAGTGCATTTCACTATCATGTATAACTAATTAGAACAAATTTTTAAAAAGAAAAATTTTAAAAATGAATATAATAAAATTCTCCCCAATATTAAAAAAAGAAAAGAAATTCAAAAGCAAACAATTATTCTAGATGTCACCTCAGAGTCTTTGCCATAAGTTTTCTTGACTTAACCAGGATTATAATATGGCCACTCTTTTCAAGGCAATAAGAATGGGAAAGAAGTTACTTCTATCCCTTTGGTCAAGAAAAAATGTTCTTCCAAAACCCTTCAGAAAGGGCCACCTTAACATCACTGGCCAGAATTAGGTTATAGAGCCACCTGGCTCAAGGAAGTTAAATAGTTCGCAGCTACTGTTTTAGAGGCATGTAGAATCCAGCCTGGTCTACTAGAATTTAGCATGAATATAAATTTAGGATTGGGCATACTCTATGGGGCCTTGTATAGTCTGTTATCTATTCTAATTTGCATGTTCATAATTTTTACAGCTCTTTACAGATGTAAAGAACATATGAAACTATACAAAAACAGACCTCAGGCCAGATTTGGCTCAAGATGTAATTTCCCAGCCTCTCCTAATCTTTGTCTTTAAGCCATGCCATAGGACTGACTTTACAAAGGACCCTTGTACATCTATTCAAATGCAATTACAAAGTATTATCTATAGGTTACAAGGTTCCTCCAAGTCTTCTATAATATTTAACCTGTCAAGCAGAAGGTTTCCCAAGAAAGAGTTTTTTGGTTTAAGTCCTCAATCTTAAACCATAAATTGAAATGGGGAGGGGGACACTTTGCCTCTCTGACATGCTATTTTTCTTGTTATTGGCATATGCTTATTTAAAAATAATAGTTTGTAATATTTTATGGTCTCAGGCTGGGGTTGTGGCTCAGTGGTAGAGCACTCACTTAACCTCTAAGGCACTGGGTTCGATCATCAGCTCCATATAAACAAACAAACAAATAAACAAAGGTGTATGTGTGTGTGTATATATATATATTTTTATGGTCTGTAGTATTACCATTTATCCCTGTTCTGCTACCTGCATGCATCATATAGTAGAAAAAAGGTACATTTTGGTAATTACCTAGTTATAGAGATCTGATTCAATTGTATAAAGCAAAGAATAGTTAACAATACTATACCTAGATTAATACTTTTATAAGACTCCTACATAATGAGAACAATTTAGGTGATTGGAAACCTAGATTTCTGCACTCAACATTGTTATCTAAGTAATTTGGTAGAAAGCGATAGACAGTATTTCTGAATAATGTCAAAGGGCCATTTACATTTGACTGGTATGAACTTGCAATCAGTATGTTAAGAAAAGGTAAAATTATTCACATTTATATTCATAAGGATTTGGAGATTTTAAAATAAATTTTTATTTATGAATAAAGTTAACATAGGTACCTTATATTGGTTTGGTGTTTTGGAGTTTGTTTTTCATTTTAATGAGCAGAAGCCTCAGAATCTCAAGATCATTGAGCACAATCACAATTGTATAACCATTGCTATTTAATCAATTCATTAAAATTAATGTAAATATAATTTATAAAACATAAATATTAATGTCTAGAACATACCACTTACATTTAGACAAATATGAATTTGAACCCCAGTTGTAACATTTACGGATTGGGTAACTTTGGGCTAAGTAATTAATTTCTCTTTTCTTTTTTTCTCAACACATAAAAATATTGGACTGTTTTTAATAGATGATATAAGTAATGTACCTAATATGATGTCTGTCAAATAATAGGCAGATCATGAGTACCTGCTACTATCTAGAATTTAAAATATTTAAGATGACTTGTATTTGCACATTACATTTTCCTGACTAAAAGCACTTTTCTTGTTTTATAGAAAGCACACCTGAGCTGGTCTTAATGTCATCTGTTGAGGATACAAATGAAACTGGAAACATTCAAAGTAGATGTTTCAGGAAAAGACATAAAAGTGACAATGAACCTGATTTGGAGCAGCAAATGGCCTGGGGAAATAGAAATCGTAATCTTAGTGGAGGGGTACTGATGGGATTAATGCTGAATAGGATTAATCAAGAAGCAAACACTGGAAATATAGTTGAAAAATTAGGAGCTGATGCAAAAATTCTTTCAAATGTTATCTCAAAAAGTACAAGACCAAATAGTCTTGATATTGGAAAGCCATCTTTAAGATCAAAAAGGGACAGTCTAGAAAAAGAATCCAGTGATGATGATACACCTTTTGATGGTTCTAACTGTTTGACAGATAAAGTGGATTCCCCTGTTATTTTTGACTTAGAAGATTTAGACAATGAAACAGATGGATCAAAAGTGGGATACATTACTGCGCAAAATCCCAAGAGGATTCAACGTATGAACAGTAGCTTTTCAGTAAAACCTTCTGAGAAAACTGATGTTGTAACAGGATTTGATCCCCTCTCTCTTTTGGTTGCTGAGWCGGAACAGCACAAAGAAGAGGAGGARGATGAAGATGATAGCAAAAGCATTTCAACACCATCTGCTCGGCGTGATTTAGCTGAAGAAATTGTGATGTATATGAATAACATGAGCAGTCCTTTGACAAGTCGTACACCAAGCATTGATTTACAACGGGCATGTGATGATAAGTCAACCAGTAAGAAAAGTCCAACACTGGTCAAGGCATGCAGAAGATCTAGCCTGCCTCCTAATTCTCCTAGGCCAGTGAGACTTACCAAATCTAAAAGTTACACAAAAAGCGAGGAGAGACCACGGGATAGACTCTGGTCTTCTCCAGCCTTCTCACCTACTTGCCCATTTAGGGAAGAATCTCAAAATACATTAACTCATTCATCACCTTCATTTAACTTAGATACACTACTAGTACCTAAACTAGATGTTCTAAGACACAGTATGTTCACTGCTGGCAAAGGAGTTGCAGAGAAAGCAAGCAAGTGGTACTCAAGATTCACCATGTATACCACATCCTCTAAGGTAAGTTTTGTTGGCATTTGCTCCTTTTACTTTCATATACCCACTACTAAAAATGAAAGCCTTCTCGTTGTACAAATGTGTTTTAATCATTCTGTTTACACACAGCTTTATAAAAAGGACTCATGGGATGTAAAAGTTTTGTTAGGTGTCAGAATTTGAGCTGAAATAGCTTCAAAAAGAAAGAAGATGAAGGTTATGTTTATAATTCATTTTTGAAAGAAAGTGATATGTAGCTAGAGTAAGAAATTTGTGTTAAATATAAATACTGACTGAGTTTAAATATTTCCCTCAAAGTACATCATTTTTTCAGTCAATATCCAATATGCCTTCAAAAATTACCAGCCAGACATATAATTTCTCCTTTTTAGGATGATATAACTTATGATAGATCTACATAACCTCCCAAGAGCAAAAATCTAGATGAAATAAAGAAAGTTTCTGTTTACAATCATCAGAGAACTTATAAAGCAACTATAGAAAAGAGAGGCAAGATTATAGAGAGAGAATTGCAGAGAGGAGCTGAAATTCTATAGCCACTTTTTCCCAGAAGGCATTTGCTAATTATAAGCACAGAGAATGAGTTCTAGCCCCAGGCTTTGCATTATCAGAGAACTGTGGGAAGGGGATGGGGAATGGGTGAGTAAAACAGAAGACTTGAGGGACCTCAAATACACAGAAGGTTTTTTTCCTTTAAGACATTTTCCAAATACTGATATTACATAAGATAGGTAAACAGAAAGCATCTGAAAAACAGAGTTCCCTGCATGGTTCTGGGAACATAATAACTAGTACTGATGAGCTGCCAATGGAAGAAGCTTTGGTGACTATATCAGGTCATCAGTGCTACAGGGCTATCCCTCAGGGGCACTGGTAAGCTATGGATAGACTGAGCTGGTCCCAAACTGCAACTTAGACTTGACTCCAGCTCAGCTCTGTGATTAGATTAAAATAGTCAGTCTTTAGGTGGCAGAGGAAAGAGTGTGCTCTTTCTGAAAGAATTAAACATCTACAGTTTTTATAGTTTTTTTATATACAGTGTCTGACATTCAATTAAAGGTAGTTATGCCAAGAGACAGGACTATGGCTAAAAACCAGAAGAAAAACAGATAATGACAACAGAACCTCAGATGATCCAGATACTCGAATGAGAAAGGGTCTATGAAATAATTATAAGATATTCACAATAGAGGAAAACATATAAAAATGGCTGCAAAGATGGAAAATTTCACCAGATAATTAAAATCTGTTTTAAAGGGATCAGATGTAAATTATAGAGCTGAAAAATATATTAAAGATGTGGGAGATATAACAGCAGATAAAACATAGAAAGGCTAGTAAACAAATTGGGAGGGGTGTAATTAGGAAATATCCACACTGGACGTACAGAGAAAAAAATAGAAAATACAGCAGAATTGGGGGTGGGGGGAGTCATTAAAAATATCTAACATTCACGTGATTGAGTTAAAAAGAAAGAGAATGGGATCTAACAAATACTTTAAAAGCCAGTTGCGCTGGACAAGACGACAAATGCCTATAATCCCAGTGATTTGGGAGGCTGAGGCAGGAGGATTACAAGTTCTAGGCCAATCTTAGTAACTTAGTGAGATTCTGTCTCAAAAAATAGAGCCAGGCTCACTGGCACATGCCTATAATCCCAATGACTCAGGAGGCTGAGGCAGGAGGATCGAAAGTTCAAAGCCAGCATTAGCAACTTAGCAAGGCCCTAAGCAACTCAGTGAGAGGCTGTCTCTAAATAAAATTTTAAAAGGGAATAGGGATGTGGCTTAGTGTTTAAGTGCCCCTGGGTTCAATCCCCAGGACCTAAAATAAATAAATGAATAAATAAAAAGTAGAAAGGATTGGGGATGTAGCTCAGTGGCAGAGCATCTCTGGTTCAATCCTCAATGCACTGTCCATCCCCCAACACCTAATTGCCAAGAAATTTCCAAAAATGGAAGATACCAATTCACATATTTAAGAATTTCTGCAAATGCCAAGCAGAATAAATACAAAGAAGACCATACATAGTTATATATTGTTAAAATAAAGATGAAATACAAAGGAAAAATCTTAAAAGGTATTGGAGAAAAAAGATAAATTGCATTCAAAGGAGCAACACTAGGAAATGAATAGTTGTCTTCAGAACAGAAACTATGATGTTGGAATACACTGGTAAGATGCCTTTAAGATGCTAAAAGAAAATCACTGCCAACCTGTTTAACTATATTAGCAAAATATTTTTCAGAAGTTTTATGGTGAGAGTTCTGGTTCCACTGGGGTAACATAAGGCCATCACAACCCATTCCCTCTAATGATTACAACTAAAAACTCCAGACAAAATATGTAAAAAATAAATAACTGGGACTTGGGTTATAGCTCAGTGGTAGAGCGCTTGCCTACCACATGTGAGGCCCTGGGTTCAAGCCTCAGCACCACGTAAAAATAAAGAAATAAAATAACAAAATAAAGATATTGTGTCCATCTGCAACTACTTTAAAAAGTGTTTTTTTTTTCAGTTGTGAATGGACACAATACCTTTATTTTGTTTATTTATTTTTATGTGGTGCTGAGGATCAAACCCAGTGCCTCACGTGTGCTAGGCAAGTGCTGTACCGCTAAGCTACAACCCCAATCCCACAAAAATCTTTATCTACCATATTTTCTTACATATTAGTGTAGCCAGAAAAAAATTTAACTTTTATATTAGTATCCTCAGAAATGAAAACTAATGAGCATGTGTCTTTGAAATCTAGATTATTGTGGAAAAGAATAAAATGTAATTCTAATGGTGTCTTAGTCTGGAAGATCAAGGAGGAAAGAAAACAGGAAGGAAAATAAAACAATAAATGAAGTCCTCTAAATTGCCTTACTAAATGGGGATATATCTTGCTGGAAGTAAAAAAATTATTTCTTAAAAATTGATCTCTAGCCTGCTTACTCAAAGTAGGACTCTTTGTATAATTGGTTGGGTTTTGTTTTTTTTCCCCAGAAGTTGTTCATTAATCATTTGGGTAGTTAGGTGGTAGTGTTTCCTCTACCTTAGAGAAGACTTTTTAAATAATTTTAAATATGAAGGAAATTAAGCTTATAATTATGTCCTTAGGATCAAAGTTCTGATCGTACCAGTCTTTCTTCAGTGGGAGCCCAGGATTCTGAATCTACCTCTTTGACAGATGAAGATATCTGCCATGAGTTGGAAGGAGCTGTTTCCTCCCAAGAGAGCAGTGCCACTTCAGGGACCAAAGGAATTGATCTCAGTCGAGCAAGCCTGGAAAGTTCTGCCTCCCTAGAAGGTTTGTCCAAACAGTCCTGTTTGGTTGGCAGTACCTTTACTGTTTTTCTTTATGATTTAAATTTGTTTTTCAACTTTTTAAAAGCCTGAAAGAAATCCAAAGAAAAATGATAAAAGCCAAGGCACTTTTAGAGAAGACTAGTTTCCATTCCCACCCCTCATATAATTCTCTTCCTACCTTTCATTTTAAAAAAAAAAAATGTAAGTATAAGTGGTTTTTTATATATCCTTATTACTTTCCTATCTTCTCATTCAAAAGGTAACTATAAATTCTTTCCCACCCATCACTTGTCTTCACTTAACAGTGTAACCTGAAGATCATTCCATATCATTACATAGTGGTGTTCCTCCTTCATTTTTACAGCTGCATAGTTCATCATATGTGGTTGTATCAGTTTATTTTAACTACTTCTCTATTTATCGACATTAAATTTCCAGTCTTTATAATGCTATTGTATATGCATATACATATGTACATATATATACACACACACATATATCATGTTATATTTTTGCAAGTGCATATTGTTAATTGTCATTTATAAGAACTCTCTTCTGAAAAAGTATTTGAGAATCTAGTGTTTAGTATAATTTCCTATCCCCTCTATTTCTTGTGAACTGGTAGTTTATACCATTATAYTTTGCACTGAGAAAGATTTTTTACATTATTGTTGTTTCTGAATTATTTTTAATATTTTGAACAGAAAATATCAATTTTATCAGAGAATTTATGGAAATAGAAGATTCTTGCTGGCGTTATGGCTCAGTGGTAGAGTGTTTGCCTGGCATGGGTGAGGCACTGGGTTCAATTCTCATCACCACATATAAATAAGTAAATAAAATAAAGCTCCATCAACAACTAAAAATATATATGTATAATTTTTTAAAAAATTCTTATATCCTTTCTCATCAATTTTAATGGTTTTGCTGTTTGTTTTTTAATAATGAACAGGATCCCTGTCAAAGTTTGCCTTACCTGGGAAATCAGAAATGACATCTTCCCTGAACACAAGTAATGCAAATATCTTCCAGAACTATGCAATGGAGGTATACAATTTTATTCAAGAGTATCTTTTTGTGTTACTTTATAAAATGTACATTTCTCAAGTATTGATGATCCTGGTATAGTAATAAAAGTTTAATATGTAGTATCTGAAATTTTAGAAAACATATCTCACCTAAACAAAGTTGAAATCCAGTTTTTGGATATTCATTATTTCAGATTGTTGAAGTCATATTACTTTATTAGGGCAGTTCCATTCTTTCTTTGAGATTTTCAGCATACATAAATATTTTCCTTTTTGGCATTTTATTCATTCCTTATTATATGTATTCTCTTTGAACATTTATGTCACATTGTAAACTCTACCAATTTTGCTGTGCAAGCAAACTTTTGATGAGAGTGCAGGAACCTCTTTTGGCACTCAATTGTCAACTTCTTCCATCATGGTTTTTCATCAGTTCAATGTGGATCTCTATCTCTGCAGGGTATGCTCCTATGTCCCATTTTCTTACAATAAAAAGTTATGCTTTTATACTTTAAAACTCTTCCCTAATTTTTCTGTAAAAATTATAGTAATTAAATTAAGTTTGTGAGTGTGGCTGCTGTTTCATGCTAGGTTCCATAAAGAAATTTGCATATAGCTGGAAGACAAATGATGAGCATTCATGTTGCCATTTACAAAGTTTCTGTGGCTTCGGGAATTTATGTAATTTATAAATGTAATTTCGACATTTATAGTTATCTACTGTTGAGCTTGTTAAACTGTATAGTGATAGACTAGGCTTGTTTTTTGTTTAATTCCTAATTTGATACCTTTATACACTTAGATGTTACAACCAGGTCAAATTACTTTATAGCTTTCTGAGTCCTTTCAATCACTTTACTTACTATAAACCAGTACAAATTTGTGGACCAGTACTGGTTCAGTGACCATACTTTTGAGTAGCACTGATCTATAATTACAGATATCTATTTGGGGTATTTGCAGATTAATGCTTTAATTTACTTTTCCATGATAAAATTATAGCTAATTTTATAAAAATGATAATGGAAAAAAATGCTCACTTCAATACAAGTTTCTTTTATAGGCAAAATTTTGGAATGGATTTAGTTGAAATAATTAAAGATGAGCATAGTATATAATACACTGAATATAGTCCATTTCTTGTTTGTAATGTTTGGATACTTACTTTATAAAGTGCTATCTTCTCCCCTAGGTTCTCATCTCAAGTTGTTCTCGATGTAGAACTTGTGATTGTCTCGTCCATGATGAGGAAATCATGGCTGGCTGGACAGCAGATGATTCAAATCTCAATACTACCTGCCCATTCTGTGGCAATCTTTTCTTACCTTTTCTGAATATTGAAATAAGAGATTTAAGACGACCTGGAAGGTAATAATAAACTTTTTCCACCCCTTTATATTTAAGTATCATGTCTCCAAGGTTATCTCACTTCTTCAATTCACATTCCAGATACTTTTTGAAATCAAGCCCCTCTACAGAAAGTACCCACTTTCCATCTTCTTTTTCAAGTCAGGCAAAGCAGACTTGCATTTCACCATCAGCTTCTGGTCTTGACACATCTGCTACCTCTGTTCAAGGGAATTTTGATCTAAATAGGTAAGTATGATTATGAGGAACTAGGATTTTTTTTATACTGGGGCTTATTATGTTATTGCACAGGCTGGTTTCAAACTTATGGGCTAAGGTTATCTGCCTGCCTGTCTCAGCCTCCCAAGTAGCTGGGACTAGAGGCATACACTACCAGGACCAATTAAAACTATGTTTTAACAACATATATTACACGTTTGGGATATGTGACAGATTAATTAGCTGAGTATTTCAAGGTTTAAATTTCTGTGAAAAATAAATTTATAATCTTAAGTTCTTATTTCTAGAATTAAAATTTCCTAATAGCCTAAATATTTAAATATTGAGTTTTGCTACGGCTACGCTTTATGAACCTCCAGAGTTTAAGTTATGTGTACATATGATAGTGTTTACTAGTATTTTAAAGAAAAAATATGTAGAACCCTTGAAGTTTAGAATGATCATCTTTTTCATATCTCCATCTCTTCATAAATTAAGACAATACCAGCTTATACTTTGGAATACTTAATTTTCTACTTAGGAGAATTAATTATTTGTTAAAAGATTTGGAACTGATATAAGAACTATAAAATCAAAATTTATACTATTATTATATTAAACCTAATATAAGTAACCTACACTCAAATGTAGAAACTGATTCTATTTTGCGTAAGTGCCAACTAACCCACAAAAAAACTGAACAGGTAAAGTCTTATTGGTACTTGCATGTGCCAAAAAATAACTGTATGGTATTGGCAGGCTAACATAACCTATTTGGTCATAAATATTTAAGACAGTAAAACCAAAAATCTATGCATATGTTTTCTTTTATCATAGATCTGTTGTGTCCCTTATCTTTGTCTTTTATCCACTTGTGATTGCTGAAAGAACAAGTGTCCATTTCCTCTATTTGGCATCCCTAACGGCTAGTGTGGTTCCTGCTATATAAAAGTTGTCCACTGGGCTGGGAATGTGGCTCAAGTGGTAGTGGGCTCGCCTGGCATGCGTGCGGCCCGGGGTTCGATCCTCAGCACCACATACAAAGATGTTGTGTCCACCGATAACTAAAAATAAATGTTAAAACTCACTCACACTCTCTCTCTCTCTCTCTCTCTCTCTCTCTCTCTCTCTCTCTCTCTCTCTCTCTCTCTCTCTCTCCCCCCCCCCCCACTCTCTCTTTAAAAAAAAAAAAAAAAAGTTGTCCACTAAGGGGTTGGGGATGTAGCTCAATGGTACAGCACTTACCAAGCATGTATGAGGCACTGGGTTTAATCCTCAGCAAAATAAATAAATTAAATAAAGGTCCATCAACCACTACAATTTTAAGATATTTTTTTTAAAGTTGTCCACTAAATGTTTTGAACAAATGAATGAATCTTGGATATTTAATATTCACTTGCTATAAAGGAAAATATGTGTGACTACTACTGTAGTAGTCACATTAAAATATCCCATTTTAAAAGCCCAAATAATGTATTTCTTTTGATTTATTGTGCTATGTTCAGTTCTGATTCTAAAGAAAAGAACATGGTTCTTCTAAATGAAATCATGTAAATCTAGCCACTGATCTGATTTTTCTTCTTTTTTTCAATGCCCAAGCAAATCTAAACTGGAGGAAAATTCCTGTGCCCGAAGTATTCAGATTCCTGCTAATAAATCAAAAACAGCTATATCAAAATGTCCAATATTTCCAATGGCCAGAAGTATTAGTACTTACGGCACCTTGGACAAAGAAGATACTGGAAGACAGAAGCTATTTCCTACGGGCAGCCTGCCAGCTACTTTACAAGGAGCAACAGTATGTATTTTGGGTTTTTTTAAATTTGGAAATGGATCATTTACATATGATTTTGTTCTCCTTGTCCTGAAGAACCTTATTAACTTTAGTTTTATCATTGTCATGGAAGAGTCTTATCCCACAATAGAATTATATTACCTTTCTACTAATCTGGAAATCATTGACAGATTTTTTTACAAATAGTTTATCATTTATTATATTTATCATTTATGGTTTTTATTTATTCAACAGGATTCTTTAGGATTAGAATGGCATCTTCCAAGTCCAGATCCTGTCACTGTTCCATATCTTAGTCCATTAGTGGTATGGAAAGAACTTGAGAGCTTATTGGAAAATGAAGGTGATCATGCAATAACAGTGGCAGACTTTGTGGACCATCATCCTATTGTTTTTTGGAACCTGGTGTGGTATTTTAGACGTCTCGACTTGCCCAGTAACTTACCTGGATTGATTCTTTCTTCTGAGCATTGTAATAAGTATTCGAAGGTATGAGAATAAAAATTAAAAGGCACTGCTACTGTCACCTGCATAATGTTTGCATATTGCTTGGTTAAAAAGTAAGGTTCATTATTATGTGAAGTATTTTTAATAACCATCTAAATCATTAGAAAAGTAGGATTCTCTTAGTTGCTTGCCTTTACAAATAATTTTTTCTTACAGTCTAGCAGTAAGACAAAGTCATGGTTTKTAGCTTTCTAAACTTTACAGAAAATGTGCTTGAATTTTTGTTATTACTTCAAGAATAGATTGAAAGCAACTCTCATGAGAAGAATTTGTGAGTTAGCCCCATTCAAATCTCATACCCCCTTCAAAAACAAGCCTAATGATTTTTTTAGGAGGATGTCTATAATTCATATTCAAGCATGTGCTACCATTCTCTTTGTTCCTTTACTCTTAATTTTTGCTTAATAGGCAGCGAATTATGTTCATTTATTTATTTAACTTTTTTTGTGATGCTGAGGATCAAACCCATGGCCTCACATATGCTAGGAAGCACTCTGCCCCTGAGCTACATCCCCAGCCTCCATTGACATCTTTTCTTTTTTTTTAGATATAGATTTTTATTTATTTATATATATAATATACATTTTATACATATTAAAATATATGTTATATTTAGTTATATATTATATATATTTTTATATATTATATATGTATATTAGTTGTTGATGGACCTCTTTACTTTAGTCATTTATTTATATGCCATGCTAAGAATCGAACCCAGTGCCTCTCACATGCTAGGCAAATGCTCTACTGCTGAGCTACAACCCAAGCCCTGGACACAATACCTTTATTTTATTTATTTATCTTTTTATGAGGTGGCTTAGGTTCTAACCCAGTGCCTCCCATGTGCTAGGTGAGCACTCTACCACTGAGCTACAACTCCAGCTCTCCATTGATATCATTTTTTAGACCTTTATTTTTATTTATTTGTTTTTATGTGGTGCTGAGGATTAAACCCAGTGCCTCACACATGCTAGGCAAATGCTCTACCACTGAACCACCATCCCAGCTCTGATACCTTTGATATATTGTTTGTGTTTTTTACCTTTTAGTATGCCGTCACTATAGATAAAGCTCAAGAACTTTATCTTCTCCCTTTTGTATTTCTTGTATTTCACATCTATTAAGTACAGGTACTCTGATTTTTTCAGTACATCATAAATGGAAGGCAAAAAATGGTAGCTCAGTCATAATTATCTGGGCAAGGGGTGTAGACTATCAGAAATAGACTCCTGAGGCTGGAGATATAATCTAATGGTAAAGTGCTTACTTAGCACATGGGAGGCCCTGGGTTTGATCCCCCCACATTATAAAAGAAGAAGAAGAAAGGAATGGAACTCCTGGATTCATCTTTCTATGGACTTTGGGACTCGTGAGGAGGGAGAAGATTAGTCCTTCATGGAACCCTTTCTCAATTATCTCAAATACTTTGTAAAATCTTTACTTTAGAAATCATTAGCTTCAAGCCAAGCCTGGTAGCACATGCCTGTAATCCCAGCAACTCAGGAAGCTAAGGCAGGAGGATCACAGGTTCAAGGCCAGCCTCACAATTTAGGGAGGCCCTAAGTGACTCAGTGAGACCCCAATTCAAAAATAAAAAATATAAAGGGCTGGGGGTGGGGCTGGGGTTATGGCTCAGCGGAAGAGCGCTCGCCTAGCACGTGCAAGGAGCTGGGTTCAATCCTTAGCACCACATAAAAATAAACAAATAAAATAAAGGTATTGTGCCCAACTATAACTAAAAAAATATTTTTTTAAAAAAAGGGCTGGGGATATGGCTCAATGGTAAAGTGCTCCTGGGTTCAATCACCAGTACTAAAAAAGAAAAGAAAAGAAATTGTTAGTTTCTCTATACAACATGTCTTCCTTCAGGAGATATCAAATACATACAAATCAATCATTTTCTGTATTTTTTTCTCCTGCACACTTAAAACCTAAACAAAAATTTATGATGATTTTATAAAATACTTATAAAAAATTATCATTTAAGGATCACTAATGAATATTTTTTACTTTACAACCCAGATTCCTCGCCACTGTATGTCTGAAGATAGTAAATATGTTTTAATACAAATGTTATGGGACAATATGAAATTACATCAGGATCCAGGGCAGCCTTTGTACATCCTCTGGAATGCCCACAGTAAGTGCTATAATAGAATGCAGACTTCATTCATGAGAGAGTAATCACTACTTAATTTAAATAGCCTAAATTTACATATAACTGACTTATTTCACTGTACTACTTTTTGTCTTACAGGTCAAAATCGTACTCTTTTGTTTGAGAGTGAGTGTTAAGTTTGATTTTTTTAGTGCTACCTTCTATGTAGGTCCAATTTTACATGATTTGGTTTTGTTTTTTGAGTGGTGCTGTGTATGTGCTAGAGGGGTTGGTTATGTTTTGTACCATTTGGCTTTTAGCACATTGCTTGTCCCAGTTATTTTTTATTTGTTTTCATCCTTGGCTGCTAATTTCCTTCAGGGGCTGTATTAAAGGAAACTACTTTGGGTTGTCCGTCTGAAACCACAGAAACTTCCAGTCTATTTTTGTCATTATTTGTCTTCTTTTTCCTTTTTTTGCTCTCTTCATTTGTAGATTTCTATTCTTTTATCTATTGCCCTTAAATTTATTTTTAGTGCTTTGTAACTTCTTCAACAGCTGTCAGTTACTATTTAATTTCTTCTTTCTATATCGAACATTTCCTTCATCTGCTCTTGTTCTTTTACAGCCCAGAAGTATCCAATGGTTCATTTATTACAAAAAAATGATAACTCATTTAACCAGGAACTATTGAAAAGTATGGTAAAAAGCATTAAAATGAATGATGTCTATGGACCAATGAGTCAGATTTTAGAGACACTCAATAAGTGTCCACATTTTAAAAGACAGAGGTAAGTTATTCCCTTAAACAAACATATTCCTCTAAGCAATCACACCTTATTTGCCTAGTAATTTTTAGACTATATCATGTTTATGTTAATATAAATATTTTTTGTAGAGAACATATAAACTATATGGATATTAATATTTTCTTCATGCTTTTTATTTCCTAGGAGTTTATACAGAGAAATACTATTTCTTTCACTTGTGGCAYTAGGAAGAGAAAACATTGATATAGGTAATTCAGCATAAAAAATAATATATGACATTTACATGATGCAGTACAATTTTCAGTGTTTTCTATTGGTAGTCTTAATTTGTTATAATAATAAAAAATTGTTTCTTTGATTTTTATCTATTGTAAAAGGTACTTTGACATTCTGGTAATGGTAGTATTAATAAAGATAAATAATAAAAGTAATATAGCAAGTACTTTCCATGTATTATCTCATGTAATTCTCCCAAAAATCCTGTGAGAAATGGGTACGAATATCATTTTCATATTATTGAAAACACTGAAGGCTTCAGGTGAAGTAGCTTAATCTCACATTTCACAATACATAATAGAGCTATATTTTAACCAAAAAGTCTTAATTTTCAATCCAAGGCTTTAAGTAATGTGTCCTATCACTGATAACATGAGGCTTATTCAGAAAGAATGTAAAGTAGTTAAATATATATTTTAGGAGATTTTAAACTTTTTTGATTGGTCATATCCTTCTCCCAATTATTGTTTTTTGTTTGTTTTTCGAGATGGGAGCTTGTATGTTGTCCAAACCCCTGGGCTCTAGCAATCCTCTTGCCTCGACTTTCTGAGTACTGCGACTATTGGTCTGCACCTCTGCACCTGACTAGCTTAATGTCTTAAGTTTCTACTTCCAAATCCTAAGAAAAGAAAGCAAGGAAGAAAAAAAGAAGGAAAGAGAAAACATTAGTGGCAGATTTAGTGCTAGGTTTAATTTAAATAGCTGTCAGTCATTGAGAGACTCAAGTAGAGTTTTGGCATTCTGTTTGAAAAGTTATAATGTTGCAAATAGTATGATGAAAAGGATAATTGATCCACATAATTCATCTGATATGAGTGGTTGGTTTCTGAGTTGGGTGCCCTACATAACCCACTCACTATTTAAAAGAATATATAGTGGGTCATGATTCATTCTCTTAGGTGATTGTACACTAGTCTTAACAAAAACAAATTACTTTTTAGCATCAGCACTTCGTTTAACTTTTAAAAAATATTTTTAGCTATAGCTAACACAGTATATTTATTTTTTTATGTAGTTCTGAGAATTGAACCCAGTGCCCCAAACATGCTAGGCAAGTGTTCTATCATTGAGCCCCAACCTCAGCCCACATCATTTAACTTTTAAAATGCCACAGCCATTGATTAGTGCCATCAGTCATGATGATGATATATATAATAAGCATATGCACCATTACAAGTAACTTAATCAGATGGAGCATGACGAGAAAGCAAGGGCTCTCCCCTGGTGCTGGCTTTCCATCAGTTCACTAAGGATTGGGTAAAAAAGCAGTAGTTAGCAAGTGAAGAGGGCAGCTGAATGCTACTGTCCCTAATTGGGTGTCTCAAGTGTTTATCAGATGCCATCTAGCCAGAAATGACAGTACCACCAGAGATTGTCAGCCATCATGCCAGAAGATTATAGAATTTGACAGCAAAGGTATATGTGGGTGAAATGGCAAGTATCTTACAGAATGAAATTATTAGATGAGTGTGTTATTTTAAGTGAACATTTTAAGAACAAAGACTCATTTAGTTAGAAATTAGTCTGCTTATGTAGAAAATAAGAATGGGAAATTAGCTTACACGAAAATGTCCTTAAAAGTTAGCTTTAATTCAACCTATATAGAGATCAATATTTAGTATCATTAAAAAAAAAAGTATGACCCAGAGAATTATAATCAGGGACCATTCTACTTAGAAGTCACATTAAGTTGCTGATCACTTAACTGAAATAAAGTTGGGAATCTTGGGARAAATTCTGATAGATATGTAAAAATTATTGAAAATCAAGGAATATTTGAAGGAAGTGTAGTTTATTTAACCTGTAACATTCTTTGTAAGCAAATATTGTATGAATGTGCCAAATTGCCCTTTCTGCTAAAAAGAGAAATAGGATGAATAGGTTCAAATCGCAACCAGGGCACTTTGAGCAGAATGATATGAATGTTTGTTTTTTACATTAATGGTTGTGAAACACTGGAGAGTATTAAAAATAAGAAATTTGACAAGTGATTCTAAAGTTCAACTGGAAAACTAATATAGGAATAGGCTAGAATAAATATAAAGTAAAGGAAATAATAAGGGAATTGAATGGTATAATAGAAAATGTCTAACACACAAGAAAAAAGTGATGGAAAAATTAAGATGACATGGGAAAAATAGAAAAATTGCACATATAAATCCTTCTTTTTTTTAAGTTGTAGATGGACACAATAACTTTATTTATTTATTTTTTATGTGGTGCTGAGGATTGAACCCAGTGCCTCACACGTGCTAGACAAGTGCTATACCATTGAGCCACAACCCAAGCCCCATAAATCCTTCTTTATCAGTAATTCCATTAAATGTAAGTTGACCAAACTCTTCAACTAAAGGGCAGATCTTCTAGAAGAATGAATTTTAGACTGGGTGTTACTTGGAAGGCAATAAAAACATAATCAAACAAAAATAGATTAAATTGGACATCATTAAAATTAAAATCATGGGCTGGGGTTATAGCTCAGTGGTTAAGCACTTGCCTCACATGCTCGARGCATTGAATTCGATCCTCAGCACCAGATAAAAAAATAAATAAGGTCCTGGGGTTCTGGCTCAGTGGTGGAGCACTTGCCTCATACAGATAAGGCACTGAGTTCAATCCTACAACTACAACTAAAGAAAAGTATTTTTAAAAAATTAAAATCATGTGTGCATTAAAGAACAGTATCAGAAAAGTAAAAATATAACCTACAGAATAAGAGAAAATATTTGCATTATGTCTGATAAAGGCTTAGTAATTAGTATAAATAAAGAACTTTTATAACTTGACATTAAAAGCAATCCACTTTAGGGGCTGGAACTGCAGCTCAGTGTTAGAGTGCCTTCCTCACAGGGTAAGGCASCAGGTTGGATCCTCAGCACCACATAAAAAGTAAATAAATAAAAATATTGTGTCCATCTACAACTAGAAATTTTTTTTAATTTTAAAAAGCAATACACTTTAAAACTTGACTCAAGTATTTTAACAGACCTTTCTCCAAAGATGTAGGAATGACTAATAAACACAAGAAAAGATGCTTAACATCTTTAGTCATTAGGAAAATGAAAATCAAAACCACAATTACATACCACTTCACATCTTCTAGGATAGCTGTTGTGAGAAAAACAGAAAATAACAAGTATCAGCAAGGATGTGGAGAAACTGGGACCCTCATTTGTTGTTGTGGGAATATAAAATTATGTAGCTACTGTAGAAACAGTTTTTTTTAAATTTCTTCAAGATGTTCAACATAGAGTTATGATCTGACAGTTCCATCCTAGATGGATATACTCAAGAGAATTGAAAACATATATTCTTTGTAGAAACTTCTACATGAATGTTCATAGCAACATTATTCATAATAGCCCCAAAAGTGGAAAAATCCACATATACATTACCTGATGAATGAATAAACAAAATGTAACATATTAAATGATAGAATATTATCTATAAAAAGATATGAGCCAGGTTACAGTGGTGCACACCTGTAATCCCAGCAGCTCAGGAGCCTGAGACAGGAGGATCTAGAGTTCAAAGCCAGCCTCAGCAAAAGCTAGGTGCTAAGCAACTCAGTGAGACCCTGTCTCTAAATAAAATACAAAATAAGACTGGGGATGTGGCTTGGTGGTCAAGTGCCCCTGAGTTCAATTCCCCAGTACCAAAAAAAAGAAATGAAACGAAATACTGATACATGCTACAACATGGATTAACCTTAAAAACAGACTTAGTAGAAGAAGTCAGACACAAAAGACCATATACTGTATGTACGATTAGGTTTATAAAAAACTGGCCTTTACACTTAAAATTGGTAAATTGTATGGTGTGTGAATTATATCTCAATTTTTAAAAGGTAATCTGATAATAAAAGGAATATTCAGGAAATGTTATTTAAAGAATCATTAGAGGATTTGCCTTTATAGAAGCTCCTGTAATTATAGCAAGGTAATGCTAGCACAGGGAGAGCTAGAAAACTCAATAGGACAGAATAGAGTCTAGAAATAGACAAAAATATCTGTGAGAATATAAGATAAAATCATGATAATATGATAAAATCACTTAGGAAAGGCAGTCAACTATATAGTGTTGGAAGAATCTTTCTAGCCACTTGGGAAAGAAGCTGAAACTTGTCAAAACGAGGCAGAGTGTTATTTTAACTCAGCCTTTTAACTATGATGATACAAAGAATACCAAGAAAAGATCATTTTTACCATTCCTTTATACTCTACCCAGTACAAGCCCAGGACATGTTCAGGTCTTTCCCTAGCCCTCTGCCAAAGGTGATTTCATTGAATGTTCAGAGAAATCTGGACTGCCAAGCTAGAGAGGCTTACTTGCTCATGCAGTTGGCTCTGAACTCAGACAGCCTCTGTGGACACCATTATGGTACTGTGTCAGAGGGGGAAGATGTTCTGTTGTCTGTTGTCTCCCTAAATCAAAAATATGGAACCTGAGTAATACTCAGATTATGCATACCTCATTTGGATCTCTGAAGGGCAGATTTTTCCCCAATGTGTGTTAAAAATTGGTAAGATAGCATAATTTCTACACAGAAATGTTTAACAGAAACTTCTAAACCCATGTTCTCCCTTTTTCACATGTGAATTGTCCTCTGCACAAGAAGTTCACAGGCCTTAGAATAATGTCCTTAATAATAAAATCACAATCTACTAGCTCCATCTATTTCCCATGAGAAATAAAGGGGCAAAAATCATTACATGATGTCAGAAGATACTTGGATTTTTTTCCCAAGGGTATCCCATAATAGGAAGTTTAGGGCACATAAACCAAAATAAATTCCTGTTGGGGCAGAAAATTAAATGTAAAAATTTAAACCATAAAAGTTAAGAAAATATGGATAATTTTTTTTCTATATTCTGGTGGGAGAATACCATTACTTATTCTTCCTGTGTTTATTGAGAATGAAAATCAAGGTACAAAAAATTGTATATGGTATTTTGTTTTAAATTTTGTGCTTGGTAAAATTAAAATTGGTCTATGCAATCTAGCTCTAAAATACTATGGACTTTAAGGTCTCCTGGGAGCTCTAGCCTTGAAGTTTGTGGTACTTCAGATAGCAGACTGTCCTAGAGATTCCTTGTTAGCACCTAATTCTGTGGTTCTGTAGTATTATAGAAACTTGATTATTGTCTGTTTCAGACGTAAGTTTTTTATACCTTTGTTTGTTTGTGAATTTTTGCAGATGCATTTGACAAAGAATATAAAATGGCATATGATCGTCTCACACCTAGTCAAGTCAAGAGTACACACAACTGTGATAGACCACCAAGTACAGGAGTGATGGAATGTCGAAAAACCTTTGGAGAACCTTATCTATAAGATGTGTGTGTGTGTGTGTGTGTGTGTGTGTGTGTGTGTGTGTGTGTGTGTGTACATTCAGTATATATTGTATAGTTATTGTACAAAGTAATTTCACTTTTAGACTCTAAACATTTTTTCTCCGATTTTTGAGAATGCAATTGTAAATGGTTCAGAAAGTTCAGAGCACTTCTGTACTGAATGTTTTCAGAAGAGGATAGTAACAAATAGGGAGAGAACCACTTTGTTTCCCATTTCTTTTCTCTTTAACTTCCTGTAATAAGTAATTAAGTATTTTTGCAATGACAAAATMTCTTAACAAAATTGGTTGCCATAAAATATGACAACTGTCTTATGATTTCTCTTAGAAGAGACAGAAAAATCATGTATGGAACCTAAACAGAAATGTAAGATTAAAGTATGTTTTGTTTTCATAGACTCTTCAAATGTTTTGACCATGAAGTTATATTATACATATTTTAAATTGTTTATAGTAAGTTGATATTTTTTTAATTTTTAAATTTAATATAGCAAAGTTAAAATGAATTTAAACTTATGAAGCAAGTGTTTATTTTCCTTGTCTGCTGTTATTTGAAGTATTTAGTACAACTGCAGATCTCTATATGTATATCTATATCTATATATATATATATATATATATATTTTATTACTTGGGAAAATTAAATTTTAAAATGTTAGTACTAGGTCAGTGTCCTCCTAGGATTGCATGTTAGCACCGTAGGCCTGACTACAGTGAGTGTGTCCTGGCAAGGATGGTGTACACTGGCCAGACTGACTCATTGAGCAGAGATTCACCAGACTGTGATACCAAAATCTCTTCTATTGCTGATATATACATACAGGACACAGAGAAAGTGGCTCACAATGCAAATATCAACTTAAATTTTAATATTCTATGTGAAAACTTATATTGGGAAATATGAAAGACAATTGACTATTCCAAATTTTATCTTATTTTAATATCTAAATATTGGAGATGTAAATTGTACTATAAAATATTTATCTGATATATGAATTACTGAGGTATTCTGTTAATACTATATATAAATATTCAAAGTATTTTTTCAACAGTAGAAAAACAATAACCCTCTAAAAATACAGCCAGGTAGAATTTCCCATATTGAGGAACTTAGCTTTTCAACCAGCTTCAGAATCTGAAGTTTGTGGAATCTAAAATGCAGGAATCAGATAATAATAAATTGACTGTTTAAATACCATGAGTATTAAATTGACTTTTAAAAATATATTTTTAGCCACATTATTTCTAGYATCTTTTTCTTTGGGTAATTTCTGGTAAGGAAAAAGCATCCTTTGGCTGTTAGAATTATTTATAGATTTTTCAATATGTATGTGTATATATTTGCATAGATTGCCATTAATGAAGGAAGTTTCTAGTCAGTTTTAAAGAAGTAAAATGGATGGTCCTAAATTGGATGTGTAAAGCCAATAGAGTTCATAACACTGAAACATCTTGGAGTCCTRAGACTTAGATCAACCACAGAAAAACTACTTTTTGATCTCATGCCATTAGTAAATAGCACCAAACTGAAACATTTCACAGCTTTTCTACTCTGACAATAATGGAGTTTAAAAATGCAAAACATTAGTTCAATTAGTTTGACACTGAACTTGCTTACTTGAAAAATCTGGTGCTATACATATATCTGCCTTCCTTTCATTGTTGTTTTTGTTTGTTTGCTTGTTTGTTTGTTTGTTACTGGGATTGAACTTGGGCACTTTACCGCTAAGCCACATTCCTAGCCCTTTTTTATTTTTTATTTTGAGACAAGGCCTGGCTAAGTTGCTTATGGTCTCATTAAATTGCTGAACCTGACCTCAAATTTTCGATCCTCTTGCTTCAGCCTGTCAGATTGCTGGGATTATAGTGGGATTACAGACGTGTGCCATAATGCCCAGTTGCCTCTCCTTTGTAAATACCACTCCAGTTTTATTCTTCTTTACTATTTAAATCTAAGCTTCACATTCTGTGTGAGTCTTTTGGTTCTTTAAATCATTTGAAAGTTGTCAACTGACATAGATGTTTGATAGAGGAGGCTTTGGCATTGGTAGTAAATATCTCTCCAAACAGGATTCTGAGGTTCATTCTCTTGTGGTTTTTGTTGTTTTTATTCTCTTCCAAGAACATTTGCACTGTTGTTTACTTAATACCAACAATATGAAGGAATCATAGTTTATAAATTTCAAATATCTTGACAGAAAGGAGTGAGACAGAACCCATTCTTGATAGTTTACTCATTTGGAAAAGTGAATATAATTTTTATCTCCTCCCCCCCACTCTGATTTTGTTTCTACTTTTAGATAAATTTGTATCTCCCCTACTTTTAATCCCTAGGGATTATTATTGCAGAAAGACAGTTTTTAAAAATAAAACCTAAAACATAAACAGAAAATGGTAAACCCTGCTCCAAAGAATATTAAAAAAGGGATCATCCTTTAAAATAACTCTGTACAAAGGTTTTTCGGTTTTCTGTTTGACCATACATTTTAGGGAATCGTGGCCAATCATGTTGGACAGAGATGCCCTTTTACTATGTTATCTCTTATTTTCTTACACTTAGTTTTGTTTATATGTTTAAATTGTGGAAAATAAACCATGCTTTGTGCTTGTATAATCTGTTTATTACCTCCTCTCATTATGTTTGAATGTCACACATTTGTATTTTATATTGTATTTTAGATCTTCAAATTTTTCCTTCTCTTGCCACACAGGGAATTATGCAGCTGTACATCTTGATTTATCCTTATTCAGACTTTTCTGGAATTTTTTTCTTTAAAACCCTAAAACTGCCAGCTTAATTTGCTATAAGATTTTCTAGTCTGTCTCCCCATTTTCATATGTAGAAAATAATCCTGGAAAATGTAGATTAAACGTTTAGGCAATGCATACTTATTTTTACTTTATGCTGATGATTATTATTACACTTTAGTGCAACTAACACATGTTGGCTGAGTCTATATAGAAATTTTGTGGAAAGAAAACATTTATTTGGTAGTATCCAGTAAGTACTTCAGCTTTATTTTTATTTTTTTCCACTAGAACTTAAGAGCTACTATTAGATACTTTAAATCAGACAAAAGGGGAAAGAGCAGGCTGCCTCTTTGAGAGGGTCTTTGTCCATCATGCCAGAGTTAGTGTATGCTCTGCCTCTTCCTATTTTGTTAAAGCACTAGACTTTATTTCAGAATTTAGCAGCTGCATACCAAGTTACTTTAATATCCTTAGTACTTTGTACTACCTTCGTTCTCTGGCTTCAAAGAAAGCACATTTGCTGGCTAAATTATTTTTGTTTACAAAGTAGTAGTATACTAACCAACAAGGAATTTTCATCTCTGATTCCAAAAGTCTGTGTGCTTGTGCTTACACTCCTAAAAGGTAATAGACTTCTGATAAAGGTATTACTGCCTTTCCATAATTGCTATTCCTTTGGATGGCTCCCTCCTTTTGTATTTAAAATTTTCTTATCAAATGTGATACTGTAATAAAAACCATTGGAGCAACTGATAGACTTTTCCATAAATCAAGTCCTCTAGATTTTGTTTTATCACAGCAACGATCTAAAGACCAGAATGTACCTTCTGTTGTATAGACAGTCTTGGCCCAGGATATCCTGCCAGGCCCTGGTGGTACCCTGGGGATGATCAGACCTGCTTATGAGCCCTCGCTTTGCATCTTTCATAACAGGCAGTCACAGAACACATTGCAGGCTGAACCTGCAGGGCAACAAAAACGGAATCAGAGCCAAAGGTATTTATTGGCATTTAAAGTCAATAAAAGTATAGTAACCACCTAAATACATATAATTTTCAAATATTTGGAATAAATTCCTTTTTTATTTACATACAGAATCCTAACCCATTTAATTAGAAAGAATTTTACATTTTTTGAAATCTGGCTCAAACCGGTTGCCAAGACCATCAAGTAAATGCAACCCTAAGGGGAATGAAGAAAGTCATCCATGGCACAGCCATGAGTATCTCAACTGTCTTCCAGTTGAGATACTCATGTGGGAACACTTAAGGCTTTCTAGGCTGAATGAATGACCAAGAATTTGTCCCAGGTAACTATACAGATCATTTGCATATCAAATGAGAGGATCATATCAATATTTTCTTGACATTTTAAGATGGTACTTTCTTTAAAAGCATGATTTTTATTCAACTGAAGATTTGTAAATGTGTAACAGAAATTTTAATTTCCAAGCATAACAAATTAATCTTTTAGAAGTTACATGAGTTTTCCATCTCCCTGGAATTTTCTTTTTCTCTTACCCGGTGAATTTCTACTCATTTGCCAAGACCCAGATTTCATCTCTTATAACGTAGTTCTGTCATAATGTGAAGTGACCAGAACTTTCTTGGTAGGCAAAGGGATGCCAGAAGTCCAGCAAACTAGGGAAAGATAATTACGTAATTGGAGTTCATTTTAATTATTAAATGGCTATCTCAGCACTTTATTGTTAAAGACCATTTCACTATTCATCTCATTAAGTCCGATGAAAAACATCAGATCCAGGCTGTCACCGAGGAGGTGACTTCCTTGAGGTTAGCTGGACTTGGCTATAGACACCAAATTGACACCCAGAATTTTGATATTGGGATGTCCCTTCCTATCCTGGGCCCTCATATATGGAGATTCCATAGTGTGGCCCCATCAAGAATGAGATTAATTAATTTAAGAATATAGAATTTCATATTCATTAGTCTTCTCTTGAGCATTCTGCTTATATGATCTTAAGACAAGGATGAGCCCATCCATGTTTGTAAAACAAAATACCACTGGGACTCATAATTTTTACTAAATTTTTAATAAAAATTACTTTCAAATCATGGGAGTCCTGAAGTAGTGAAGCAATTAATTAAATGAAGCAGCTCATCTTAAAAAATGTAATTTTTTCAACACCTTAGCCCTCCCACACCAAAATAACTGATCTTTTTTTTCCACATCACATCCGTCCTGCTATCTTCTTGCTTTAGTGAATCAGTCATTCCTCCTGTTTGTAAYTGAAGCCATATTTGCCATCATAAGTTAGTATGATGCTCCTTTTGCTCTGATACCAGTAAGATAAAGTTATTTCTAACATGCCCCTTAACAATGCTAGTAAAAGCAGTAACCAGTGGCTTAATATACAAGCATATCAAATTCCACATAAGTCATGTAACCACAAAATTTTTTAAAGAGTACAAGTGTCCTTTACATTAGCTACAACATGTTGTTATTGTGGCAAGCATTTCCCCTTTGTAAATTGCCTTAAGATCCACTTGTGAACCACACAAGAAATCAGTCTAGCCTTACAATCCTATCTAGGTTGACACACACAAAAAAAATAGCATTGCCCCACTGGATCTTTTACTTTATAAACCATATTTGGCTCTACTGACTTTGGGCTCTTTAGAATTACATCTCTTGCTGGGTACGCTGGCACATGCCTATAACCTCAGCAACTTAGCAAGGCCCTAAGCAACTCAGTGAGACCCTGTCACTAAATAAAATACAAAAAGGAGCTAGGGATGTGGCTCCGTGGAAAAGTGCCCCTGTATTCAATCTCCGGTACCTGCCCCCCCACATACACAAAAAAATATTACATCCCTTTTCATTCACTAGTGACCATTGCCACTGTAAAACATGCTGGAGGGACAGAACCAGGGCAGCTGAGTGTCAACCCCTCAAAGTGACTACTGATAGAGATAATTCAAATTTGGGTTTTCTAACAAGAACATATTTTTAAATAGCCCTTAAAGTAGTTTTCCTTCTCTAAWCTCCACTCTTCCCAATTCAAGAGAAAATTATAAATTTTCATTTCTCAGGCTGCTTCCTGTTGTAATTTCGCTTTTCAGAAATGTAACAATAAAAACTAATGCTTTCTTTTAAAGCTAGAAAATGCTGGTGTACATTTTACTGGACTATGATGTAGAATGAGATTTGATTTCTATTATTTTTTCCCATAGCCTTAACTCCTTAAACTCAGTAACTGAACATATAATTACTGCAAGCCTGATAAAACTTCGMGTCTGAACAGAAAAAGGGCACGTAGCAAACTGTAGTGTGTGCTTGGAGCAGAGCCAAGAGAGTCAGGTGTAGACCCCCATCTACATCTTTAGACCCGTGGCTCTTCAGGAATGATCAGGGAACTATGAACAAGGGACCTTTTCTTATTTCTGCTGTGCATGTCTCAACCCCAGTCCCCAGTTCTTTAATTTAGAAGACATTCTGGCTTCAGGATTCCTTCTGCAGCCTCCACAGGAGATAAGTCTTCCTGAGAAAGAGGTGGGAACTCCACTCCTCCAGAGGTGAGGTTCTTGACCCACAATGAGCTTCAAGGATAAGGCTCAGTTCCAAATCACATTCCCATCAGAGACTCCGGACTATTCAGTTCACTCTCCTCCATCATGTTCATTCTTTTATTAATATAACAAGAGGTACAACAACTTCTGGCACAATCTTATCTATGTCCATTGTGAATACAGTGACTGACTCAGATAGATACAGGACAGGATATGATCCGATCCTCTAACATCACACTGATTATCAGGAATACAAAGTAAAGAAGGAACATTGTGAAGCCCAGGATCTTGTTCATTCTCCATTTGCATAATGCAATTGAAGAGATCACAAACAGGAGCATGAGAAAAAGCAAAACAATTGCACAAAACAAGCCATTGCTGCTGACTGGCACAGGCTGCAATCCATTGATAAGACAGAAAAGCAGCCAAGGAACAGGCAAGCTGCAAAATTAAAGAAACATTGTGAATATTCTTAATGTTTATAATAATTCCATATACTTAATTAGTACTTTACAGTTTACTAAGCACGTATTTTTTTCACACATAACAAAAAAAAAGAAACTATGAAATAGAGTGGAAATTATTAGCCCCAATTCAAAGTGAGGAAACTAAGGCTTGGGGAAATTAAAGTGCTTGTCCAAGGATTCACAGCTAATGATTGGGAAAATCTGGATTAGAACACTGCTCTGAGTTAGAACTTTATTTTCTTTCCTGTATGCTTTCTACCTTCTATATAACTAACACAGATCAACTGAATCTCTAAATTTTTTAAAATCTTTTTTAAATTTTTTATTTAGTCGTTGATGGACCTTCATTTTATTCATATGTGGTGCTTAGAATCGAACCCAGTGCCTCAAACATGCTAGGCAAGTGCTCTACCACTGAGGCACAACCCCAGCCCCCTGACTCTCTTAAATTTTTATGACTAAAGCCTATGTCAGGATAAAGTTTCTTTAAATTCTTTAGGGGGCTCTCCTAGGCCTCTTTGCCACTGTCTGCCATCCCATTCTAATATGCACATACACCTTCAATTTATTTCTTTGTTTGTATCAAACTCAGGGCTTCATGCCTGCTAGGCAAGCACTTCACAATTCAAATTAAAGGGAATCACATCCAGGCCAGGATTGAGGAAATGGAAATAACCCTCTGCTCTGATGAGGTCAGGAGGACAGGAAAGAGGATGGGAACAGGAGGAAGAAGGAGTTGCTTGTTTATACAAAATGCTTTTTAGAGACTGGGCTAGCAGGAATCCAAATGCAAATGAGCTGGAATATCAAGAAGTGAAAAGTTTCCTTCCAACCCCTCTGCAAACTTGGATACCTGTGTTTGACTGTTTGTAATGGAATGGAGTGAGCTTCATTTTTCACTTCATCTGTCAATTCTAGTCAGTTACATTTCCAACAGCGCTAAAGTTCTGTGAACCCTTTGTTTGGGCTATGATGATGAAGGAAGGATACTTTGTTGCCTTGTAGAAACAACAACTGTGCACGCCCTTTTATTCGCGTGTAATGAATGAAGCAGAAAACCGGCAAACAGCCGTGCAGGGATTTCGAGTTTTACTTCACATGCCTTGGAAAGGAACATCGCCACTCACCCGACAGTGATATCAAATATGTTACTACCCACAGAGCTGGATACAGCCATGTCTCCCAGGCCTTTCCGAGCAACAATCACACTGGTGATGAGGTCAGGAATGGACGTGCCAGCTGCCAGGATTGTCAAACCCATGATCTCTTCAGAAATCCCTATTGTTTCGCCAACCTGGTAAACCAGTAACAGTAATGAGAAACCACGGCAAGAGCCTGGGAAAACCCACAAAGCCTTCACAGCACCAACCCCAGACTACTCTGTGCAGGGGGAGCCCCTTCCAAGGAGCTCAGTGCACGCCCTCCACCTGAGCAAGGGATGGGCGGCCACAGGGAGAGAGCGAGGCCCCTGCTCATCTCCAAGTTGAACTACCAGCTCCGCCCTTGCCGTCACTCCAACTATAGCACGTCTACCTTGCCCAAAGGGCTGCCTCTCCAAATATCTGTTTACCTCAGCATTTCCAGAAAACACAGACCTCTGCCGTTGCCAGGAACCAAATTAGAGGCCACAGACGGGCGTATGGCACAAGCCCTATTGGCAGCCGAGGGAGAGGAGAAAAGCTTGCAGAGGTTTACAACTCTGGAAGGACGATTCCAAGCCGGACGGAAAAGCCCTGGGTACGCGGACCAGGACTGGGAAGAAGCCAGACAGCCAGCAAAACTGAGCTGGCTGTCAGAGTGTGAGGGACTTCCCCAGGAGGAGAGAGGTGCACAGCGTGACAGAAAAAGTAGGGAAGAAGGCTAATAAGACACGATCACTGGAGTGGAGAGGCTTTCTGTGCTAGGATGAATACCACACAAAACAAAAGCTCGGTGCCCACCATAATCAGATGTCTGTACTTTTAAACCTTTAGAATCAACGTAGAAACTACATAAATTCACTTGTTCCTTGATATTCCCTGGGTACTGGAAATTAGTCTTGAGAGGAAAAAGTGCCCTTGGGAGCTGCTGGTGCAAGACTGGAGTTCCTGCCCTTCACTTACCTGGTGAGCCCACCACACCATGAGGTAGGAGAACATGGCTATCCAAATGATGGATCCCAGGAAGGTGATAACAAAAAGCTTTTTAGACTCCTGTTTTAAAAGGAAGAGAAAAAAAGGCTAAAGGTCTTTGGCCCTCCTGAGGGAGCCCCAGGGTCGGTGCCAAGATCTGGTGGAAGTGACGGGAGGGTCTGGAGACCWGAGTAGGACTGAGGCATTGTCTCCAGTGAGTGCATTGAGGTGGATGAGCAAGAAGGTGAGCGCAGGGGAGTCCAGCCAGGAGGGCACTCAACAGTCACCAAACTCAAGAGCTATTTGCTTGCCCTAGATCCAGATCCATCAGGACATCTGGTTTGGCTTTTGCAATCTCACCCTGCCCCATCCTCTCTGGACCCAAAGACAGAAAATGGACTCTCTTTGAGTAGAACACGTTAGTCAGTTCCTTCTCTACAAATAGAAACACTGGGTAGGAATATCAGTATCCACCCTGGGTTTTCAGAAAATCCCATGGAAACATGATACAGTGGCATCATTCCTAAATAATAAATCAAGAATCAGGAATTAAGGAGACTAGATCACACTATTTACAGGGACACTGATTATGAGGGACAAAAGGCACGTGTGAAGTCTAGGGGCCCCCAATCCCAGTGGTATGTCACCTAGGCATGGTCTCCCTCCAGAGCTGCAGTCATGTCACACATCCTTGCAGTGGTGGAACCCTGCCAACCTCTCCCTCCCCTTGAGTATGAGCCCTGGGACCTAGAGGCCCCACAGCCCATGGACAGGCAGCCTGAGGTACAGCTGGGCACTCACCTGCCTTCGGACATCAGGCACCGTCAGCCACAGTGGGAGCACGATGGGCAGGAGGAAGAGGTAAATGGCCTGCTTCTGCCTGGTCTCAGGCCAGTCCAGGGACAGAGGCTCCTCCTTTTCCTCCTCCTCTTCCTCCTCCTCCTCCTCCTCCTCCTCCTCCTCCTCCTCCTCTTCACTATCCCCTCCGTCACTTCCCCCTTCATCATCTGCACCTTTCTCATTTTGGGCTTCATCTTGATTTTCAGCATTGACTTCCTGGGCTCCAGTTTCACCTTTGTCACCTTTCATGTCACCATCTTCTGCTTGGTTTTCACCTCCACCTTTGAGTTCATCTTCTTTTTCTTCTGCTTCAGTTTTGCCATCACCTCCACTTTTCTTAGTTCCTTGTTCACCAGGAGCTTTACCCTCTTCACCTGTCATTTCACCTGTGTTCTCGGCTCCAGCGGCACCTTCCTGCAATCCAAGGCCAACAGATTAATGTGTGGTGAGAGCTCTGCTTGTCCTCCTCCCCCACTCCTCCCCATTTGTGGTTTTTCTTCTCAGGCTGCATCTGAACACTTAAGTAGGAGAAAACTAGAGCAACCATTCAGCAAAATTCCCCTCCCAATATTCCTAACCATGGTGGTCTAGCTTTTTTTTAACTATTTTTTTCTAGTTGTAGATGGACACAATATCTTTTTAAAAWTTTTTTATTTGTAGATGGACACACAATATCTTTATTTATTTTTATGTGGCGCTGAGGATCGAACCCAGTGCCTCACACATGCGAGGCAAGTACTCTACCACTGAGCCACAACCCCAGCCCCCAGCTTTTAGTTGGTCRTTTCCAGTGATGGAGATTTCACCACCTAAAACAGCTTCTGTCATCTTTGATAGTTCTTATGGGTTTGAAGCTCATGTTTGCATCAAAATTCCACACCAGCGCCACCTCTGCAGGCAGGTTTACTCTTTGGAGCCATGCAGAGCAAGCCTAGTGCCCGTCCACGAGACAGCTCTCTTCTCTGGTTTAAAGATCCCCAGGTCTTTCTATCATCACCCTGCCCCTGGTGCTATAGCCTACAGACTGCTCCACAACTTGATGAACTCATTCCATTTAGCTCTATCCCGGAAGGGGGGCATCCAAAACTGAACACAGAACACACGTACAGGGGAACAAGACTACYACCTCCCTTGTCTTAGATACTGGGCCTCTATACATGCTGCCTTGTATATAGCATGATATCCTTGGTGGTAACAACACATTGTGTAGTCTACTAGATCTCCTAAGTTGTTATATTACTTTATATAATACCTATTACTGCCCTTTTTTTTTTTTTTTTTTTGGTACTGGGATCTAACCCAGGGCTTGACCACTCAGCAACATCCCTGTTGTAGATGGACACAATACCTTTATTGTATTTATTTACATTTTTTATGTGGTGTTGAGGATGAAACCCAATGCCTCACACAGCTAGGCATGTGCTGTACCACTGAGCCACAACCCCAGCCCCTCTTTGTTTTTTATTTTGAGACAGGGTCTTGCTAAGTTGCTGGGGCTGGCCTCAAACTTGCAATCCTATCTCAGTTTCCCAAGTCACTGGGATTACAGATGTGTGCCCCCACATCCCACTTGTTACACATTTTTATGTGCCAGGCAACAGAATAAATGGTTTAATAATAATACCTGGCATTTACTATATTTCATGAGTCAATTCATGACATGGAATTATATTCATCTTACAGGTGGAGAAACTAAAGCTGGGATCTGAATATGCATAGTTCAATACTTTGACCTCTTAGCCACCAAGCTACTCTGCTTTATAAATGCCAGGCTGAATGAGACCTTTGGCTTCCAGACCTGGGGAGCTTATTAAAAACAGTTTTCCCAGCAACACAGGAGGCTGAGGCAGGAGAGCGGCAAGTTCAAAGCCAGCCTCAGCAACTTAATGAAGCCCTAAGTAACTTAGTGAGACCCTAAAATAAAATATTAAAAAGGGCTGGGTTGTTGCTCAGTAGTTAAGCAACCCAGAATTCAGTCCCTGCTACCACAAAAAGAAAGAAAGATAGGCAGTTTTCCTGGTTTTATGCGTCCCAACTAAATTAGAATCTCTGGAACTGGATACCAGTAATCTGAATCTGACATGTTCCCAGGTGCTAATACATTCGTCTACAGATCAGTGTTTGGGAACCATGGACTATCTCCACACTAAAAGCCACTGATTCTGAGGGTTCTCAGATTAGGTTCCCCAAATAACCTATAAGATGCTAGCTTGAGCAAAGGCCTGGACTCTGTGTCTATGTCATCTCTAGCAAATGTCACAATACTGGCAACCCTCAAAGGATGTTCAGTGATTCTCAACTCTGCTGCATTTTAATATCAGCTGGAGGCATTTGAAACCATTGGTGTCCAAGGACCCACCCCATATATTCTGACTTAATTGGTTGAGGGAGGGACCTGGGAAATTTTTTAAGCTTCCCCCAGATTATTCCATTATACAACCAGGGTTGAGACCCTCCAGTAAAGAAGTCCATTGTTACTTGCTGAGGCCTGTGCTTTAAATTAGGAATGAAGATTTTAGTCTGAAATAATTCCTGCCCTCCTTCCTCACCCACTCTCATCAGAGGGAGACTTCCTGGAGGAAATTAGTCATTTCAATCAATAGATATGGTAATGTCGGAGAAGCCTGCACCCTCTTCTCTGAGGACCATCACCCCAAAGCCGCAGCTGAACTGGTGGCCCCCTTCTTCCATGTTGGAGTCAAGGTGCCCCACTGCTTCCTGACCATAGCTGACTGGATACAAACTGCATCATCCTCCTGGCACCTGGGTTGATCCTAAAGGCTGAGAACCTGTCATTGCTCTGGACTAGAGGGCTGGGGTGGTGGCTTAAGGTTGTGGACTGACAAGGAAAACAAAGCCAGGCCGCCAAGATAGGCTGAGTGACAGAGCATGGGCACAGAAGGGGACAGAGGGTGGGTAGCAAATAGAGTGAGAAGCCACCAGATCTAGATCCAGCTCCTTGTGAGATAAGTCTCACTTTTTTTTTTTTTTTTTCCTCCTGCAGGGCTGGGGATTGAAAGCAGGGCATTGCACATGCTACGCAAGTACACTATCTCTGAGCGGCATCCCCAGCCCTTCTTGTCTTCTGAGACAAGGTCTCGCTAAGTTGTCCAGGCTGGCCTTGAATTTGCAATCCTCCTGCCTCAGCCTCCCAAGTAGCTGGGATTATAAGCATGTGACACCTTGCCCAGATCCAAGCTTCACTCCCTGCACTGAGGTTCCAGAGAYACCTCTGTGCCCTCTTAATCCTTTTTACTTGAGCCAACCATATTGGGTCTCTTGGAACCTTCATGATAGTATGAAAATGTCTCAGATGCTGGGCCCTAAACTGCTGGATTATGAAAGAGATATAATTGAGTACTTTGGGATAGGAAAACAGATGGAACTTGCAATCAATATTTATTTACTATAAGTCTCTTGACCGATATTGAGCATAGCTGGATGTCAGGCATTACATTTCCCTCTCGTGTGGCAACAGAGAAGACTCAGACGTGAATCCTGCCTTCAGTAACCTCACCACTAGTAGGGACTAAGAAAGACCAAAAATGCAAGGGAGGCAGTGATAAGAGCCTCAAGACAGGCACACAGCACCATGGACATTCAGATTTGGGGACATCGAGGAATCTTCATAGCAGAGGAGGTATTTACAACTGGGCCTGGAAGAGTGGGCAAGATGAGGCTATCTGAAGATGGAGAGGGAATGGCATTCTAGAGCGAGCAAGCCATGTGAGCCAAGGTGTGGAGCAGAAAAACATGGAGACAAGAAATTCAGTTTGGTCAGAGCATGGTGGAAGAAGAGTTGTCAAGACAAAGCTGTGTCAGGATGCGAGACCCTGCGGCTGAGGCTGAGGTGTCTGGCCAGGTGCACAGGCAGTGAGGAGCCTGGGAGGTCCCCAGGCTGAGGGTCACCAAGCTGAATGCTGTCCCACCGCATTCCAAGATGTCTGGTGTTCTGAGCCACCTGGTCTCACTGTTCCCTAGTTGCCAATAAACTCACTAACAATTCTTTGTGTTCTCGCAGTGAGTGGCGCTCACAGTGCATTCTTTTTTTAAAAACTTATTTTGATTTTTTTAGTTGTTAATGAACATTTGTTTTATTTATTTTTATGTGGTGCTGAGGATCGAACCCAGTGCCTCACACATGCTAGGCAAGCACTCTACCACTGAGCCACAACCCCAGTCCACGACAGCACATTCTTGTACATATCACCTCACTCATATTGAGATGCTAACAGTAAATTTACTGGCTACATCAGGTTTTTGAGGTTTTCAAGCGACTTCAGAGAAGAGTGATGCTTACTCCAGGAGAATGAAACTCAAATAGAATTTCAGACCTTCAGGAAGGAACTATCTTTGGCCACAAAGTCCTTCCCTGGGCTTCTTAAATCCCTCACTTGGGCAGAGGTTGGGYGCCTACCTGACCACCAGGATTCTCCTCCAGGTCTCCCTTAGTGTCTGGAGTTGGGGCTGGTGTGACCGTGACCACAGGGAGCTCAGCTGGTGGCTCCTCTTTAAAGGATAAACATGGGTTAAGTCAGAAGAGTGGACCAGGTTCTGGGGGCAGCTGCAGACACTGGTGGGAGTGGCTGCGGGGCTATTGGAGAGCGTGGTCTCTGAAGGTTTGTTGGGGGAAGTTTCTTGTTGGTAGGAAAAGTAAGATGATGTGCATTGTTCTTGCCCTGTCCCCTGAGATACCTACAGATGAGAGGTATTCACAGACATTTCCTGGCCATTGTGGCCAAGGATGCTGTGAACAGCTCGAGCAGTTGAAGCACAGAGAAGGAGGGCACTCTCAGCACTCAGGCTCTAATCCTCCGGAAAGGATCCTGCTGATTTCAAGACATGCTAAAGCCCTGGTACAGGATTGAGTGGAGGGAAACAGAAATTCTGGAGAGCTAATAGTTTAGGTAAGGCTCTYTCACATCTTGACTGTGTGGCTTTGGGCAAGTCCCTTGACCTCCCTGAGCCTGCATAGCCTTTCCTACAGAATGGGAAGAATGCTGCTCTACCTTCCTCCCAGGGTTTCTGAGTGGACCAGACAGACCTGGTGTGCAGAGGCCACATGGCAGTAGCTGTCCCACTTCCTTCATCTTGGTCACCACACAGATGCTGGATGTCTGTGTTACCAGACCCCTAGTGGCCTTCCCTCATCCAGCAGAGCCTTCCCTCTCTCTCTGGGGCTGCTGATTTCACATCAATCACTAATAACCCTATCTTTAGGTAGAAGTAATAGGAAGAAGACATAGGTAAGATTTAGCAAAAAAGGAATGGGAGTCCACGGGGCTTGGGCTGTAGCTCAGTGGCAGAGGACTTGCCCAGCATGTAGAAGGCTCTACATTCCATCCTCAGCACCACATAAAAATAAACAAATAGAATAAAGGCGCCCCGTCCATCTACAACTACCAAAAAAAAAAAAAAATAGAAAGAAATGGGAGTCCTAGAACCTTCTGGCCTTCCCTTCCTATCTAAGAAGAGCTCACAATGCCCSCCTTGGGAAGCAGTTATATATCTGGAGACCAGACAGGAAGAAGGAGGCTGGAGTGAAACCGACTATGGGCAGCCTCAGCTCATCCCTCTGACTGACTGGCTCACAGAGGCCAAGATCTGTGCCTCGGTTCCTGCCCTGGGCTGGCTGCCGACAGGAGGGAGGGAGGTGGCAGGAGAAACCCCACTGGTTCGGCCATCCTCTCACCTCCTGGTTTGCTTTCTGCTTTGGCCTGGGGTTGGGCTCTGGCCTCCTGATTCAAGCTCTCCTCCTTGTCCTGGGAGGGTGGGCTGCGAATAAGAAAGGAAACACATCTCATCTAGGACTGCAAAGTCATCCCTACCACGCCTCTTCAGTTAGGACGGTCAACTGAGCCACCAGAGCAGAAGTGAGCAGGGAAAGGCAGGCCTGGGGGTTTCCGTGTCGGAATTCTGATCCTACTAGGTCTATTAACAGCACCCAATTTGTAAACTTGGTCTTAAATTCCCTGCACCATCTCTAACTGGCTGTGACCTTGGGCAAGTCACCCTCTCAGAGCCTACATCCTTTCTGGTACAATGACATACTTGCACTCAGAAACAACAGTAGGATTTATTTCCCTTATGAGCTCAAGTGATGGCTGCTTAAGTGATAAATTGGGAAAGATTCTGATCCAAACTTGCTGACAAAGTACCAGAATTAATCAGTGACATCTGTGATGGGCAGGGAATGGGGAAATGATGGCAAGTAAATGTGTTTTTGCCACCCTTGGACTAGATTATCAATAAGGTCCTTTGCAGCTTTCTTTTTATGAATCTTCTAGAAATCAGGGTGATAGCATTCTGTGTGTGCTGCTCCATGGGGACCACTGGTGGCCATGTTCATGAGCCTTTCCTCTCCAGACAGCCAACAAGCTCTTGGCCATACCCATTTTGACCTCAGACACGTAGAGTCTAAGCAAGGCCTCTTTCTAGATCCCTGTGCACCTTCTTCGCTGRAGGCCACATAGCAATGGGCACAGAACGGTGCGGCCCTGATTTTCCAGCAAGGAAAATGGGGAGGGCAACTCTTCCCATGTGACTATGTGCCAGGCAACATGCAAAGTACTTTGTTGGGGGTAGTGGGAGTACTGGTGTTGTAGGGACAAACGAGGCAAGGCACCAAAGATAGCAGRAAACAGTTTTATTTGGCTGCAGCCAGGTTCAGAGGGTACAGCTTTTGCTGTAATCAATTAATTCCCTGAACCCCGAGTTCAGGGAGTTTCAGAGTTTTATACCCAGCATGTAAGGGGATGGGCTCAGAAGTTCACAGTCTGCAAAAGTTCCCATAAAAGCAGCTTTTTCTTTCACTGTTCTGGGCAAGTTAACTCTTCAAGGACAACACCTGAGAGGGGGAGAGCCTCTTTCCCCCTTCCTTTCCTCCCCCTGCCAGCTGTTACCATGGAGCTCAATTGGTAACTTATCTTAAAAATGTAGACATCTCTGTGAAGCCCAGCTCAAGGCCAGAGGCCTTGTTTGCACATTTCTTCAAGTACTATACTGGATACATTTGTGAAAAACTAGTAAGGGGGTGTCCAGCACCTGGAGGGCTGGTATCTTCTCGGCCAGTGACCCAGTAAACAGGGCAACACGAAAATAGGAAGTTTATCTACACAGGACTCTTTTGTGGAGACTCTTTTGCTGACAGTCCTAAAATCATCGATGGTGAAGAGGGTTTTTCTGTGGAGAAAGAGGGTGCCACTTCACTGGGGGTTGAATCCAGGGATGCTCTTCCACTGTTAACCCCAGTCCTATTTTTTTTTTTTTTTGAGACAGGGTGTTACTAAATTGCTCAGGATCTCATTAAGTTGCTGAGGCTGGCGTCAAATTTGTGATCCTCAGGCTGGGGTTGTAGCTCAGTAGTAGAGTGCTTGCCTAGCACGTGTGAGGCACTGGGTTCGATCCTCAGCACCACATAAAAGTAAAATGAAGATATTGTGTCCACCTAAAACTAAAAATAAATAAATAAATATTTAATTAAAAAAAAAGTTTGTGATCCTCTGACCTCAGCCTCCCACGTCTCTGGGATTACAGCTGTGCACCGCCACGCAACAGACGCAGAGTACTTCATGCATGTAATTTCACTGYGGGAAAGGAAGGAATGACAGAGACCGAGAAGCTGGAGCTCAGGAAGGTGCTCCTCCCAGCTGTGTAGCTGGAACAAGGAAAGAGGGAAGGGGAAGGCAAATTAGAAAGCAGTGCGATGCCCTGGGGTCTCTCTGGCTCTGCCCCTGAGCACTGGGTTGCTTGGGAAAGCAGAGTATCTAGGCCTGAGTCCTCTATAAAAAGCCACCRCCATGACACAATTGGAGTACGATATGAGGGTCCATGAGAAAAAAATAAAAGTGCTTTAATTGCTGCAAAGTGCTTCACTCATATTGTTATGTTAGCATGGATTCTGGRGCCTAATGACCTGGGTGTCAACCCTAGACCTGGCACTCACAYGATAGCTGTGGACCTAGGTGGATATTCCTTAACTTCTCTGTACCTTAGACTCTTCATCTGTAAAAATTTTCCAGAGATATCAACAGATTAGATTAATTTATTCCTGAATGTGTTTAAATAGGGCCTGGTACCTAGAAATCACTACGTTAAGTTCTGGCTAGAACAACATTGACAATGATGATGACAAACTGACAACAGTGGTTGAGGGCGCTGTCCCACCCAGGAGACAACACTGCCGTGACAAGATCCAGCATCCCAGATTTAAGGTAGAGGGGACCTGGCGATCCTCTAGTCCRTGATGTAGGCACTGCAAGGAAACTGAGGAGTCTGGGAAGCTGGGTGGATCAAAGCCTCTGCCAGCGTCCGCGATGGACAGGAAATAGTTAACCAGATCTGGAATTACCTCCTCTCCACCCGTCTACCAAGTTCTCAGAGTTGGTTCAGCTGCAGCTGCCTCTGACTACAACCACCACTATGACACCCATGGTCCCCCAAAGTGTCCTGGCACCCAGCAGCTACTGGGAGCTCAGATTAAGGAGGCAAGAAACCCCCAGAGGGCCCTTGGCATGAATCAAGCACTGCAGTCTTCTGTTGAGAGGAGGGTAGCTGTTATCTAGAGAGCTCCCCCAGTTGCTGAGAACATCTACTCCCTCTCTAGATAACTCCCTGATGGCTGCAGGGAGTGGTGAGAAAAAACAAGTTTCCCTTTGCCTCACATCCTCGTCACACACCCTCACCTCTCATTTCCCATGCCACTGAGGAAAGCAGGTCAGCAGCAGGGTCCCCCGCACTGGGACTCTCTCTCACTCATCCCAGTGAAATCACCAGCAGAGGCATGTGACCCTGGAGAGGAAAAGCCCCTCCACCGGGAGATGAGCTTTCACACCACAAGAGACAACTCTTCCACTGATCAGCTCTGTGGAGAGAGTTGGAACACCTGGAAAGGACGGAAACATCTGGGTAGCCATCTGGAAACAGCACATGGACACACAAACACGTATCTGGGGAGTGTTAGGAATAAAGGCCCTGCGAGGTCCCAGCCCCTCCTGGACCAAGTCTCAGGGTGCAGAATCAGGGTGAGTCTCTGAGCAGAACTGCACCCCAGGGCACTCCTGCSGTCAGTTGCCTCAAGGGCCCTGGCCTACCACACCCACAGACGATGGAGCAAGCAGGCTGCTCTTCCCAGAGATAACTCTGTCACTGGCTTCCCAAGCATGTCTCCTCACATGCCCTCCCCACTCCCAGCCCAGCCGGATCATCTCCTTAGCATCAATCTCCTCTGACCTCGGCCTGGCCTGAACATCCCATAATCCTGTTAGGACAAGTAGGCCAGCTGGCGGCTATTGGGCACAGAGGTAGCCCAGGCAGAGAGCCCTGCAGTCCCTTTTAGGAGAGTCTATCTCCGGGACTTGTCTGGAGTCTGCGCTCTCCAGCAGTGGGCAAGCATGACCCAGGGACACGGCTCCCCTCACTGAGCCAGGCCAGGCACAGCCCTAGCGCTCATCATCCAGAGGCTGGTGGGTGTTGCAAGCTCTGCTCTGGGACCCCCGAGCTATTGTTTTTCTAGAGCTGACCCTTTCACAGTGCCTGCCAAGGCCCACCGTGAGGAATTTCTGAGGAAGCTTTCATCACTTTTTCTTTGATACGCTGTTCACAGTACAGTGTACTGGTTTTAGCACCTAATGCCCAATATGGTGTCTTCAGGACTCCTCTTCAGGGCCTGATGAAAATTTAAGCCCCTTAGATCAGAAATGTCAGTCAGAATGCTCCCTGGGACACAGTAGGCCCTTCTTTCAGGTCATATTCAGCTCTGGCCTCAGCCTCCTGCTCAGTGGCACTCTGACCCCTTAGCATTCTCCCAACAGCGGACCTTTCTCTGAGGGCCTTCTCCATGGGCTGTCAGTTCTGGATCAGAGCCCCAGAGAAGGGGGAGCCCAAGGTCAGCAGAAGACTACCTGAGAGACAGCCATTAGAGCCTGAGAAGCATGCTGGGGCAGCTCTCTGGGGAAGGTCGAGACAGAAGGCAGGATAGTGAGAGTCTCAGCTGCTGCCATCATTTGTCAAGTTCAACATGGACCCCACTGCTCTTTAGACACTGCTTACCCTCACCAACCTCAGAAGTGGTCCTGGCAGCTCTGAGGGTATGCTTTGAGATTCCTGATTGGGAAGGGATCAGCAAGCTTCCCAGGACTCCAGAGTCAAATACAGAGCAAAGGGAACACCAATCAGAGCATCTGGGTTGTGGGGCCCCTTGCTGAGGTGCCCCCCAGAAGCATCCCTGGCTAGTCATCCTGGCCCAAGCTGCCAGGCTGGAAATACTGCACAGGATGCTAGGGCTAGCCCCAACAAAGGCCAGAGCAGGGCACTTGGCACTCATGGCCTGCCTGCAGGTGAACCCCTTTAGATTTTACAGGAAGGGGCACTGAGGCAGGTAAGTAGTGGGATGTGTGTACCAAGGATCTTAGCTTTCACCTCTCAGGTGGCCCTCTCTTGGTGAGTCCCCTGGGGTGCCTCTTCCTTGTCTCCCAGATTGTCTTTCACCACCTACACTTTTTTCTCTTGACCCTCTTCCCATCCCCAAACCACTGCCTCTCAGATTTGCAGTCCCAGTTTTCCAGTTGCTGGAGGTCAGATGCACAGGTCTGGGGAAGCCTTGCTTACCTATCCCCAGGGGGGTCCAGGCTGTGGATCATGAGCTGGTAGAAGGTGCAGCGGATGATACTGTTGTGCAGAGAGGCTGAGCTGCTCCCTCCAGTTAGCACAGCGAGGGMACAGGCCTCAGTAGAACTCTGCCCAAGCCAGGGGAAGAGCCACAGGAAGATCTCCCTCACCTGCCTTCATCCCATAGAGGTCAGAGATAAAGCACAGAAGCCTTATTCTGAGCCCCCCACTGCTTTGTCTCCAAATAGGAGAGGCATGCTGCTTCCTCTCTCAGCCTTCCCTCAACTCTTCCAGAACTGGCTTCTTCTATGTCCTGTCTAATTCCCCAAAGTCTTGACAAGTAGCAGACCATATGTATTAAGGATGCCACCTTACCAAGGGTTTGCACCTCCCTGGAAGTACACCCTTCTAGAAATACCCTAATCCACACACCACGCAGACCCCCTGCCCATGGGTACAACTCTATAAGCCACAGGGCATGATTGCATTTTATCATCACCCCGCCCAGAGATAAGCCAGGGTATGATCCCCTTCTACAGAAAAAGAGTGAAACCTCAAAGAAGCTAGGTGGTATGCCAAGGTCATATAGAGAGGGAATGAAAAGAGCCACACTAGCACRCGGGTCTTCTGATTCCTAGTCCAGTTTTATTTTCTGTCTTCTTGCTCAGAAACCATCATGGGCAGGCACATACAAACACATCTTTACTGTACACAGATGTGACACACACTTATTCATAGTGACACAAGTAGAAATATCTGATTTGCATCGGAACATCCAAAGACAATGCTTCAATGCTTGCCTAGTTCTCCCACCCCCTCATCCCTCTCTATCTGCACTCTTCTGCCATCTAGTGGCTGCAGTGGTGTAGTACTTCATGACAGGTTAGAGATCTTTGGAGGGGTTTCAGGCCCCAGCCTCTCCTTTCAAGTTCCCCATGATTCTGTCCATATACCCCATAGAACAAGATCAGAAAGATACGGTTTTTCAGAAATTGCATACTTTCCTGCCACCTCCAGCACTCCTCCTATTTTCCTCTTAGTTCTGGGGCATTCTAAAACCTCCAGGCTTTTATATTAAACAATCCTACCACATTAGGACTGGAAACCAGGCTTGAGTTTAACTGGTCCAAACAGTCATTTTGCAGATGGACAACATGACACCCGAGTTATACAGCAGGGTAGTCGTGAGGCCAGCTGGGACCTACAGGACTTAGCTCCCAAACTAGCACCTTCTGGAAACACACTCTGGAGGTGAGAGTTCCTGACAACATAGCCCCTCCTTCCTGGCTCACCCTGGAGGTCGGAGCACAGCCCGGTTCCCTCACATCAAAACCACAGTGCCCTGGTCTATGGCTGTATGCTGAGACTCTGCAATGTCCCCAATGGGCTGCTTCCATATGGCGCCCACCTGCAGCTTCTTGTTATCCTACTGCTGCTCCCCTGCAAACAGAAACAGGAATCCCAAGAACATAGGAGTCAGATGTCATGGAGAGACCTTACTCTCTCTCCCTCCTTCCCTCTCTCTCCAGGGCCATTCTAACTGCCTTTCTGCTCCTGGATATGCCATTGTCTCCGGTCCCCTTRAAGCCTGTATCACGGTCCCCTCTTCCCCCATTTGTAATGCTCTTTCCCTCCTCTCGGTCTCCACTGAAGTGCCACCTGCCTCCAGGCAGCTAAACATGATTCTTTTTTATAGATGCCTATTCTTTTCCTTCAAAGCACTTTCCCCAATTTATTTATATGTACAAACAGCAAAAGTGCAATAAATATTTATTAAATGAACGAATAAATGAACTGCCCTCTAAATATACCTAGTCCATTCCAACTTCTCTTCCCTGGTGTATGCCCTCTTCCCTGCCTAAAATGCCTTCCCCATTCCTCTTGACTGGCTAAATCCTATCCATTTTTCAGAAAATTCGGTGTGCATTCTTTTATAAAGCTTTTCCAAATGGCCCCTTCGTCCCCACCACTCTTTTTTTAAATATATTTTTTAGTTGTCAATGGACCTTTATTTTATTTATTGACACATAGTGCTGAGAATCAAACCTAGTGCCTCACACGCTAGGCAAGTGCTCTGCCACTGAGCCACAACCCCAGCCCTCCCACCACTCTTTTTTCAAATCTTTTTTTTTTAGTTGTAGATGAACACAATATCTTTTTTTATTTGTTTATTTTTATGTAGTGCTGAAATCGAACCCAGTGACATATGTGCTAGGCAAGCACTTTGCCACTGAGCCACAACCCAGCCCCCAGCCCTACCACTCTTAATCCAGCTGACTATATGTTTCTCTTCAAATGTTGCATAGCAACAGTGAGCACATTTTGTGATATTAAAATCCAACTGTGTGATCAGATAAGAGCTAGTGTCTTGTGGGCAGTATGGAGCAGCCAGCTAGGAAGTGGGACAGCCCTAGACAGTTCACGCACGACAAAGAAAAGCATTCAGCCCGCAGTAGTTTGCTACTTTGCATTCACAACCTTGAAATACTATTTGAACTCATTGTTTAACTTTTCACACATATGCATTGTCTACCCAGCTAGACTCCTGTTTCTTTCTTTCTTTCTTTCTTTCTTTCTTTCTTTCTTTCTTTTTTTTTTTTTTTTTTTTTTTTGCCATGCAGTGAACTTATAATCATCTCTATTACCTGTGGCATGGTATCTTGTACACAGTAAGTGCTCAGTAAACGTGAGCCAGATGAGTAGATACTCCCAAGGGGCCTCCAGTACTGACTTCAAGCAGCAGATCACTAATGGTTGCCCCAGTAATTCTTCACCTTCCATTGCTTCCCTCCCCCACCAACCTCCACTGCTAAACCAGAAGTGTATACACTACACTTCCTTCTTTGTTCAGCTCAGAAAAGACAGAAATAGTACCTGATCCAAGGCCACCCACCCACCCATCCAATTCATTCATTCAGTTCTTATTTACGGAGTATCTGCTGTTTATATAGTGTCATGCTATTGACTTTAGGGATAAATGAAGTCTAGGACTTGGATTTTTTTTATCCAGAAAGGAATTGAGACAAATATAACAGATGCAAAACAAAGCAGAATGTGGTTCATGACACAAAAGTCAGAGATGAACGTTCTGTGCTGAGAGGGCCTGGAATGCTTCTGCAGTAGGTGGAATTCAAGTTTTAAATGACAGGAAAGACTTGAGTGCTTGGACATACATTGCTGAATGAATGAATGAATGAATGAATGAATGAACACACAAACAAATGAGTCAGAGTAGAAAGAATCAGTCTGAATTTAAAGCGAGCACTGTGCATTTTGAAAACTTGTACTCCAATAAAATAGAAAATATCAAAGGCATCGACAAATTTCTAGAATCATATAACTTGCCCAAATTTATCAGGATGATATACACAATTTAAACAGATCAATTTCAAGCAATGAAATAGCAGATGCCATCAAAAGTCTACCAACTGAGAAAAGCCCAGGACTAAACGGATACATAGCCAAGTTCTACAAGACCTTTAAAGAAGAACTAATACCAATATTCTCCAATTTATTTCAAGAAATAGAAAAAGAGGMAGCACTTCCAAACTCATTCTATGAGGCCAGTATCACTCTGATTCCAAAACCAGACAAAGACACATCAAAACAAACAAACAAACAAAAAAAAAACCCCACAAACTTTAGATCAATATCTCTAATGAACATAGATGCAAAAATTCTCAATAAAATTCTGGCAAAATTAGGGCTGAGGTTGTGACTCAGCAGTAGAGCGCTCACCTAGCACATTCAGGGCTCTGGGTTCGATCCTCAGCACCACATAAAAATAAAGAAATGAAATATATATAAATCTAGCAAATCAAATACAAAAACATATCAAAAAGATCGTGCACCATGATCAAGTGGGATTCATCCCACGGAAGCAAGGTTGGTTCAACATATGGAAATCAATAAATGTAATTCATCACATCAATAGACTTAAAGATAAGAATCATGTGATAATCTCAATAGACTAAGAGAAAGCATTTGACAAAATTCAGCACCACTTTATGTTCAAAACACTAGAAAAACTAGGGATAACAGGAACATATCTCAACATCATAAAGTCAATCTATGCTAAGCCCCAGACCAACATCATTCTAAATGGAGAAAAATTGAAGGCATTCCCTCTAAAAACTGGAACAAGGCAGGATGCCCTCTTTCACCACTTCTGTTTAACATAGTTCTTGAAACACTGGCCAAAGCAATTACACAAAATAAATTAAAGGGATACACATAGGAAAAGAAGACTTCAAACTGGCACTGTTTGCTGATGATATAATTCTATACCTGGAAGACCCTAAAAATTCCACCAGAATATTTCTAGAACTAGTAAATGAATTCAGCAAAGTGGCAGGATATAAAATCAACACCCATAAATCAAAGGCATTTCTATATATCAGTGACAAATCCTCAGAAAGAAAAACTACCCCATTTTCAATAGCCTCGAAATWAATWAATWAATTAATTAATTAATTAAAAAAATACTATATAATGAAAATTACAGAACCTTAAAGAAAGAAATCAAAGAAGACCTTAGAAGATGGAAAAATCTACCTTGCTCTTGGATAAGCAGGATTAATATTATCAAAATGACCATACTTCCAAAAGCAATATACAGATTTAATGCAGTTCCAATCAAAATCCTAATGGCATTCCTCATAGAAATAGAAAAAGCAGTCATGAAATTTTTCTGGAAAAATAAGAGACCTAGAATAGCTAAAGCAATCCTTAGYAGGAAGAGTGAAGCAGGTGGCATCACTATACCAGACCTTAAACTATATTACAGAGCAATAGCAACAAAAACAGCATGGTACTGGCACCAAAACAGACTGGTAGACCAATGGTACAGAATAGAGGACACAGAGACTAACCCACAAAACTACAATTAGCATACATTAGACAAAGGTGCCAAGAACATGCATTGGAGAAAAGATAGCCTCTTCAACAAATGGTGATGGGAAAACTGGAAATCCATATGCAACAAAATGAAATTAAACCTCTATCTCTCACCATGCACAATACTCAACTCAAAATGGATAAAGGACTTAGGAATACAACCAGAGACCCTGTGTCTAATAGAATTAAAAGTAGGCCCTAATCGCCATCATGTGGGATT